TTTATAATCTCCTTTAACAGGATGTATCAATTTACAGATGGTTTATCAATGCTGGCAAATTTGGCCAATCATATGATTCAACAAATTATTTTTTCCAAGTTAAAACAGGGACAGATGGGAAATATGCTCCGACGCTCTTCGTAAGGTTTGTTGTCAGGCTCATTGACTGTAACGTAACTCCTGGAAAATATGATACATGTCACACACCACCGAGATATTATTGTTATCATTGAACTGAAGTTTGCTAGTTGTTAACATTTGTACAGTAAGTTTTGAATATATCAATATACACAAGACATCTTATTTTTGTTTCCACAAGGATTGTGTATTTCACCATTACAGTATGAAGTACAGCCTACAGGACAGACACATTGTATTGTTATGGGCTAGTTCTTATTGTTAACCTGCAATGATCTGTATCAGATGCAATAAAGCTTCATTTCCTGATAACGGAGTTGTTGTTTATATCATCCTGTTAGCATTCAGTAACCGTAACAGTTTCGCCCATATTATACTGTTATAGGTGTTAAATGATATTTTGTTGTAATAAAACACTTGGTGAGAAGTGTATGAAGGGAAGTATAAAGGAAACTAGTGCTCTAATTGGTCAGTCTGTAACAGTACATTTGGCTATATTTGGATTTATGACAGGGTCGCATCTGTTTTAAGTAATTCCTAATATACTTGTTTATGTATTACCATTTCCATGACGACTCAAACTTCAGTATAACACAGGATGCTTTAGAATTTCAATTATATAGGTTTATCCTAAATATAGATTGTTTACAAAAAAACACAACAGCAGTTACTGATATGGATAACTGATTTTATTCCACGTCCTCATGATTCCTTGATTCTGGTGTTGATGTGATAATACATGTCACAAAACAGCAAGCTTTCGTATAACAAGACATTGCTATGACAACACAAAATAACGATGTGACAAGTGTTGTCCCTCAGTGACGACGAAGAACATCTAAGAATACCGTTGTATGATAATAATGTTACAAAGAACAGATCTGACAGAAAAATATCACAAATTGGCACTGTGACAAGAGAATATGATTAAGATCTAAGGTAAGTTGGAATAAAAAAGTTATTTTTACTAAATTATATTAAAAAAAATGTATGAGAAAAGGTCTCCTTAATCAATATTAAATTGTGTGACTTATCAAAGTAACTCCGAAGTGTTTTGTAATGAATCACAATGTACACAATGTCCATCATTGTATTTGAAATGATTTGACAAGAATTAAGACAAAGGGAGACAACTGGATCAGGATACTGACAATAAAATCCTACTTTTTCTAAACTTGCTTGTAAGCTAAAATGTAACACCTGCATTATGCATCACAGTATACAAATATCATAACTATAACAGCTGATGAATGAAACTGGTTCGATTCCCAGAATGGATGTGAAAAGGTATGGGGACACCTGCCCCACCATGTGGGTTTTCACCCAGTACTCGAGTGTCCTCCCACAGTAAGACACCTCGCATATTTCCATCTGGGCCAACAAGAGTGATAAATGTAAGCTTTAAGCTTGTTTTGCAATTATTGGTCATAAATAAAGTTTACATTTTTTTTATGTATGACAAATGGTGGAGATTTCATACAAAATAGTGATCGATACATGAAATAAATATTTAGGAATAAAACGGTGTACATGCATATCTTTAATCTTTGTAATAACAATATGGTATTATGTAATTGTGTCATTACATGTAACAGTAACACAGTAAAATACAAATAATAAACAAAATTCTCAATACTGGCCAACAAAGCTTAAAAAAAATCATCAGTTTTGTGTAAGCTTTAGATAAGGCATTCACAAAGGCCAATGAACAACAGAAAAGTCAGCTTATCAACCCAAAAAACAATGTATAGAGTATATCCAACTTAGGTGGACATATGTAATGATAACCATATTCTAAAATCAAACAATTAATTGAGAAGTGAATAATTAAAAAATTAATGGTTGTGTTTCATCTGTAAAAGAAATTAAATTTGAAGTTAGATTAGCAAAAAGATGGTTTTGAATGGGGATGTAAACTTTATAAATTGAAATCAACATTAACAAGATAATTTAAACATCTCTTTAACGATGCTGTGACACAGCTAATACAATTAAAGGGTAAAATTAAATTCCATTGATACTTTGAAGGCCTGGAATGTATTTTGTCAGTAGTTAAATAAAGTCTGCAGTTCCATAAATGCTACCTGAACAGTTCATTGATACAGCAAAGTAATGTCCTTAATGCCACTAATTCATAAATGGTGTGTGATATAACAGTAAGCAATTAGTCTATGGACATTTTCAATAGCCTATAGACACTACCAGTACAAGAATAAGTCTTCAGACACGACCAGTACAAGAATAAGTCTACAGACACTACCAGTACAAGAATAAGTCTGTAGACACTACCAGTACAAGAATAAGTCTACAGACACTACCAGTACAAGAAAAGTCTGTAGACACTACCAGTACAAGAATAAGTCTACAGACACTACCAGTACAAGAATAAGTCTACAGACACTACCAGTACAAGAATAAGTCTACAGACACTACCAGTACAAGAATAAGTCTACAGACACTATCAGTACAAGAATAAGTCTACAGACACTACCTGTTCAATAGTATAAAGACACCATTATCAGTCAGTGTAAACGGTTTTGAAAATGACATCTATGTGTCAAGCCAATACTCCCATCACAGACTTAAAAGTAAACAGATTCACAGACTAACACAGTATAACATAATCATCTCTACAACTGTTTAACTGTACATATCATTGTTGTAAATTAAAGCTTAACAACCTAAGTAAAAAGACATCATTGCTACAGCTATGTACAATAAATACCAATAAGTACTTCTAGAGCCATCAAGGCAAATTTACTGTATGTACATATAATCTATTACCGTTACCTCAAATTCATACAGAATACTGGTACTACAGTGCAATTTATACGGTAATATATATACCTCAACAAATCAATCTATCACAAAATCTACATTTTACAAACAATTTGTTTATTTCTCTTTCGGGATAAATAAGATGTTATCAGAATTCAAAGACTTTCTTTCTGATGAAATGAAGCATTAAAGTATCCACTGTCTAATCAAATGGAAACCCTATCTTTATTAAAACAAAATAAAAAGTAAATTTTAAAATTCCTCTATCAATAATCTTAAAATTGAATCCATAAACAAATTTCATAACACACAACTGATTTTAGAAAGATACCTAACGCAACAGAGGTATCTCCCAACAGAGAGGGATTAGATAAACATAGATCTGTCACAGGAAAAAATAATGTGAGATGTAAGGTTAATCTGGAAACAGTGGAAAGATGAATAAAACAAAAAGTCACTTCCCCAACTGCCAAATATTACATTGAAAATAAAAACCCCAAGAACAACCAAACTGAAAAAAGAAAAAAAAACAGCTAAAACTGAAAAAACACAACTTTTTTGATAAAAATATTTGGAATCTTCTCGTCCACACAACACTAAACCTTACATGTTAATCTGGCATAGTTCCATGTACATGTATATAAATTCTAACCTGACAAACGTAAAAAGTTTGCATATAAATAAAACATGTACTAATTATAATGTATATAAATATCGAAGCAGCAATATACATATAGTAGTAGGTATATGGCACTATACAAGTCCTGGAAGAAATAAGGAAAATTGCGAAATATATAGAAAGGTTTCTACAAGGCATTTCTGCATAGGGTACATATACCTGTAATGGAAAACGACTATTAGAATTCAGACTTTGGATTTTAAAAGTTATAGAAATAATTGTATGTTAAGGAACCAGTTTTATTGAAGTTAAGATCAAGTTTTTAAGAGAGTTGGTATGATGTTTAATTGCCCTAGTGTATATATGATATTGCTTTACTGTCTACGATGAAGATTTCATTTTGTTTATGATATGCAATACAATAGGAACACATATATTTGTATTTGCCAATTAAAAAGATAATCATGCCATTTTAAACAAGGAAATCTTAAATCAAACTGCTATGTGTATAGCTAGTCTTTGCCAATTTTTTATCTTCATCTGGAATGGTGTCATATTATTTCTCATGATTTCATCATGATAAAAAAATCAACATACCAAGAAAAAAATTATGATGTGTAAAGTTTTTGTGGTTAGTACGTCGTTTCTGTACAAAATATAACAAAGTCAGTAATATTTTTACCAATAACACAATAAATATGGCTTCATTATACATATATCTAAGTCAAGCGTAAAACATTATTGTTAAATGTTCTCATGTGGAATGGGAGACAACCACCAGTTGTCTTCATTTGAGATTGTTTTACAGAGATTACTCAAAAGATTAAAGGGAAATAACTCCTCATTCCAATTCTAACTAGTTACATGTTACCCTTGTTATTTTTGGTACTAAATGAGTCTAATGCTTATATCATAAAATGCTATATAAACCTCACTTTTGTAAAATAATTTTAAATTGTATACTTTATATCGCTTTAACAGTAATGGTTTATGAAGGAATGGGAAACAATGGGTTGTAAAATATTAATTTATTTCTACATTAAAATAGAGAATCAATTAAAATACTAAGAAGAAGACATAGAAGTACAGCATAATCAAAGTAGACAAAGACATGTAACATGAGTGATTAAGTTTCCGTTTCAGGTTTGGTTTTGAGTTTTTGGAAACAGTTGCTCTTTCGAGGGAGAATTTCTTCATTGGAGAACAGATTCTCTCCAAGAGAGGAGTTTTCTAGATTTTTTGTATCAGAGAAGAGTCGTGATGTACATAAAGGTTTGAAAACAAGGTGATATTAATGACAGAAACCTTATCAACAATATCAGGTAGGATTTACAACCAGCCAAGGAACACATATTGTTCTACATGCAACGTAGATACTAATAAAACATCAAACACATGATAAAATATCTTAATAAAGATAAAATCTCAATTTCATAAAGATTATTTTTCTCATTTTTAACCACGATGATAAAATAATATGGTATCACTTAGTAATACATACAAGATCTAATAATGCAGATCTTTCCAGTAAAAAACTCAAACAAAACACAAGATCATACAACAACATCTATATACAAGGTTATTAGATGCTTAAATAATCAACTTTAAAACCTCATCTGCATAAAATGAAATAAAAACTGAAATGTCATTGTGCACATGTTAATCACAATCCTACAACTTAAACTGATACTCTTTTTAAAGAGTAATTTGTAAACAGTACAAAAATCTTTGTCTTATCTCAAATAAGTAAAACTGAGACTCTAGAACTGACACCAAACAGATGTGTAACACTACAGTACACAAGCAGACACTGGCTTTACAGGAAAGGTTGATCATGTAATGCTTCTAATGAGAGTGTGAATGATTATTGCACAAAGACAGGTGTGACACACAACCACTTATTGTCACTGTCAAGGACCAACACACATAATGTGTACAGGCCGTAATGTCAGCTGATGAGTTTAGTAAATGATACACAATCTAGCTCCTACATATATATAATTATGTAAAAGTTTACAATGAAAAAAGATGGTTCAGTAACACTCTTAACACTCATAATAAAAGATTGGTATATAACAAACAGCTTGGTGATAAAGAATCTACAAAATAAAGCCATCACAAAAAGACAAAATGATTCCACATCAAATACTCCAGGCATGGTACATGTTATTAATGCATCAACCATGTGGTTTAAAAATTATAAACCAAAACCCAATGTCAAAGTTTGGTCCATTCACATAATAAATCAGTGTCATGTGAATGCTTTGAACATCCACATCATATATCAGTGTCACTTGAATGCTTGAAACATTTACATCATCACATTAAAATCAAAAGCATTATCAAATGTTCAATAATTTCAATAATCACAATGTCTATTGTACAATAATGACATTTTGATTGACATGCCTGACCTATGACCTAAAATGAGTGTCTACACACAAATCTACAGCTACTTCTTAAAGAGTGTCACCTGACCACAGAAAACATATGCAGTATATGACAGGAACCTTATCCTAATGACTGTGGCTGTACGCCCACTACATCCTCCTGTATGGCAGCTGATAGTGTTTGGCTAGGTGTTGAGAGCAGAAAAAACACCCCCAGCAGCTGTCCATATACGGGGTAGTTACTTGGTGGGTGACTTGAGTGTTTCAATCATATTCTGGACACTATGTCTGAAGCAAGCACCGAATGTCTGAAAAGCAAAGGAGAATTCTGGTTATTTTTGGAGTTATTGATGGTAAACACCTGTAACATGTAACAGTGTTTCAATATCTGTTATTCATGGTACCATTGACCGATAGTTCTCAGTGATACAATGTACTTACGTTTCTGAGCTTTTATAAGTACTGAATTCACCAAGGGTTGAATTACCCAGTGCTGAAAAATCACTTTGAATACCAAACTTACTAAAGTGACATAAAGTGCTCAACATCCTTTTTGTCAGTGTTGGTAAGTACACCACAAAAAGTGCTGAACATTCAATTTCAGTGCTGATAAATTCACCACAGAAGGCACCGAACATTTATCTGGGTATTTAATTAATCACAGAAAAAGCTGTACATTCATTTCACTATTCAGTTTATCAGAAAAAGGTGCTGTCTATAAAATTAATTTGGGTTTTCATTTTACCACAGTAAAAGCTTACCACAAAAAAGGATAAATATTTATCTAGGTATTTATATAAACTACAGAAAGTGCTGCATATGATGTTTAATGAACAACATGAAAATGCTCAACATAATTCAGAAATTGATTTTACCGGGTAAGTATCAAATCAAAATCAATGACACATAGTAAACATCACATTCTGAATTCACAAGAAAAAACAAACTGCTAAACACGGATGTTGAAACTGAGGCATCAAATTAAAATCCATACCCAAAATCATTGTCATGATATTGATATCAATTAGTGAATCAGATTAGTGGTGACTAGATAGTGGGACAACCACATCAGTGGTGACTAGATAGTGGGACAACCACATCAGTGGTGGCTAGATAGTGGGACAACCACATCAGTGGTGGCTAGATAGTGGGACAACCAGATTAGTGGTGACTGGATAGTGGGACAACCAGATTAGTGGTGACTGGATAGTGGGACAACCAGATAAATTGTGACTGGATAGTGGGACAACCAGATTAGTGGTGACTTGATAGTGGGACAACCAGATAAGTGGTGACTGGATAGTGGGACAACCAGATTAATGGTGACTAGATAGTGGGACAACCAGATTAGTGGTGAATGGATAGTGGGACAACCAGATTAGATAGTGGGACAACCAGATTAGTGGTGATTGGATAGTGGGACAACCAGATTAGTGGTGACTTGATAGTGGGACAACCAGATTTGTGCTGACTGGATAGTGGGAAAACCAGATAAGTGTTGACAGGATAGTGGGACAACCAGATTAGTGGTGACAGGATAGTGGGTCAACCAGATTAGTGGTGACTGGATAGTGGGATAACCAGATTAGTGGTGATTGGATAGTGGGACAACAAAGTTTAGTGGTGACAGGATAGTGGGACAACCAGATTAGTGGTGATTGGATAGTGGGGCAACCAGATTAGTGGTTACTAGATAGTGGGACAAACACATTAGTGGTGATTGGATAGTGGGACAACCAGATTAGTGGTGAGTGGATAATGAGACAACCATATTAGTGGTGAATAGATAGTGGGACAACCAGATTAGTGGTGACAGGATAGTGGGACAAACACATTAGTGGTGATTGGATAGTGGGACAACCAGATTAGTGGTGAGTGGATAATGAAACAACCATATTAGTGGTGAATAGATAGTGGGACAACCAGATTAGTGGTGAATAGATAGTGGGTAACCTGATTAGTGGTGAATAGATAGTTAAACATCCAGATTAGTGCTGACTAAATAATTTGTGAGTGATGGCTTTTTAGTGAGAAAATTAGATTAATTTTGTTTAGATAACAGGACAGATTATTGGTTGCTGAATACAACCTTAATCTGTAACGTTAATAATTAATTAAATTAGGTAAGTTTTACAGCTGAAAACATCATCAATATAAAACATCTTACATTAACAAGTTTAGGTCAGCTAGTGGCATCAGCTTCCTGTTGGAGTTTCCTCCTTCGGACTCAATGTTTTACTTTTTAACCGTGCAAACACACTATGGACACTGGATAATCCTGCCTTGACCCCTGCGTGGACAGTAAGGGCCCCTGTCTTCACCCCTGCTTGGACACTGAGAGCCCCTGTTTTGACCCCAGCTTGCATAGAATGGGCCCCTGTTCTGACACTTGCTTGAACTGACTGGGCACCTGATCTGAGAGCTTCGCTAATTGTCTTTAAGAGTGAAAGGTACAAAACAGGGAAAATAAAACAACATCAACATCCACAGCACAATAAACAACATAAACTTAAAAAAGAAAAGACAAATATACAAAATGGAAAATTGAAATTAAAATGCAAAGTACACAGAACAATAAGAAAGAAAATTACGCAAAAAGGTATGAAAATTAATACAGTACAAAATCAGAGCAAATTAAATCAATTATGATATGAATCAACAGAACTTTTACAAGGATAGGTGTGGATCAGTCACAGTTCTATTGCTATAAACAACACAGTGCAGAATTGGTAATGAAAAAAATTACTATAAATGTGTAAAATCACATGTGAATTATCAGAAATGAAGTATGGGTATAGTCACTTACAAAATTTGTTGTCGATTTTGTAAACCGGATAGTCAGGACTAATATAATGAGTAACAGATTCATACTAGTAGGGTGAATTGTTCGTTGGTAGGAATGTCTTGAGGTGAGATTTAAGGGTCAGTCTTACTTTGTATGTGGGTTTTTTGGGGGTAGGATTTACTGAGATGAGATTTAGGGGTCAGTCTCACCTTGTCTGTGGGTTGTTTGGGGGTAGGATTTACTGAAATGAGATTTAGGGGTCAGTCTCATCTTGTCTGTGGGTTGTTTGGGGGTAGGATTTACCAAGATGAGATTTAGGGGTCAGTCTCATCTTGTCTGTGGGTTGTTTGGGGGTAGGATTTACTGAGATGAGATTTAGGGGTCAGTCTCACCTTGTCTGTGGGTTGTTTGGGGGTAGGATTTACTGAGATGAGATTTAGGGGTCAGTCTCACCTTGTCTGTGGGTTGTTTGGGGGTAGGATTTACCAAGATGAGATTTAGGGGTCAGTCTCACCTTGTCTGTGGGTTGTTTGGGGGTAGGATTTACTGAGATGAGATTTAGGGGTCAGTCTCACCTTGTCTGTGGGTTGTTTGGGGGTAGGATTTACTGAGATGAGATTTAGGGGTCAGTCTCACCTTGTCTGTGGGTTGTTTGGGGGTAGGATTTACTGAGATGAGATTTAGGGGTCAGTCTCACCTTGTCTGTGGGTTGTTTGGGGGTAGGATTTACTGAGATGAGATTTAGGGGTCAGTCTCACCTTGTCTGTGGGTTGTTTTGGGGTAGGATTTACAGAGATTTACTGAGATGAGATTTAGGAGTCAGTCTCACCTTGTCTTTGGGTTGTTTGGGGGTAGGATTTACCAAGATGAGATTTAGGGGTCAGTCTCATCTTGTCTGTGGGTTGTTTGGGGGTAGGATTTACTGAGATGAGATTTAGGTGTCAGTCTCACCTTGTCTGTGGGTTGTTTGGGGGTAGGATTTACTGAGATGAGATTTAGGGGTCAGTCTCATCTTGTCTGTGGGTTGTTTGGGGGTAGGATTTACTGAGATGAGATTTAGGGGTCAGTCTCATCTTGTCTTTGGGTTGTTTGGGGGTAGGGATGACTTAGATGAGATATATGGGTCAGTCTTACCTTGCCTGTGGGTTGTTTAGGGGTAGGGGTTGTTGGGTGGGCATCCAAACACTTCTGGTACCGCAGCTGAATGTAAAGAAAAAAGGAGTGAAATAGACTACTCATTATAGTAAATAAACATAGTTTTGAAACAATCAAATGTGTCTTATTATGAACTAGATGAATTGTTACCATCATGTGGATGTATAAGAATTTATTCTTGACCAATATCTCAACATAATAGAAGGAAATATTACAGGTGGATAAAGTACAAACATTTTAACTAAAGAATATTTTCTCTACTTTCTAATCAAGGTGTGACTGCTAGGTGACAAATGTGTCAGGTGTGACTATCAAGTGATATACTTACCTTACAGGTAAGTGTGACGGCCAAGTAAGATTAGGTAATTAGGTGACAGACCTTGCCTTACAGGTAGGTGTGACTGTCTGGTGATAGACCTAACCTTACAGGTAGTTGTGACTGTAAAGTGACAGACATACCTTACAGGTAGGTGTGACTGTCTGGTGATAGACCTTACCATATAGGTAGTTATGACTATCTAGTGACAGACTTACCTTACAGGTAGGTGTGACTATCTAGTGACAGACTTACCTTACAAGTAGTTGTGACAGTCAGGTGACAGACTTACCTTACATACAGGTGGGTGTGACTGTCTGGTGACAGACCTTACTTTACATGTAGTTGTGACAGTCTGGAGACAGGCCTTACCTTACATACAGGTGGTTGTGACTGTAAAGTGACAGACTTACCTTACAAGTAGTTGTGACAGTCTGGTGACAGACTTACCTTACATACAGGTGGGTGTGACTGTAAAGTGACAGACTTACCTTACAAGTAGTTGTAACAGACAGGTGACAGGCCTTACCTTACAGGCTGCCTCTATAGTTTTACAAAGCGGTCCAGCGGTTGGTTCACAGTGAAACACCTGGGCATAAAACTGGTCCTCGGCACCATGATTGATGAATGCACACACTCTGAAAAGATAATGTCATTATGTTTTTTCCCCAGTCATTCATATAACTGAAGGTGTGTGTTCAGACTATCTTAAAGACAATACTTAGGACCTTAACAGAATACACAGTCCTAACCTTTACATCTCAGTAACCTGTCCTAGCAGAAAACCAAACTGAAGTATATTTTGTTAATTAATGGGTTTTTTTCAGTAAAAAGCCTAACAAACTGACAAGGAAAGGATTCTTCCTCCAGGATATATCAGAACCTGTTCTTCAGACTGGAAATATCAATAGAAAAAAAAGGTCTTATATCAAAACCAGTAGAAGATTTAGTGTGATGTGTCAATGATTACACTGTCACTTTCATCAGATAAATGACCATAACATACATAATGTTATAGCACAGTCAAAGAGTTGGTTGAAACCATTTTGTACACAGCGTAAGTCAGTGCTAGTGTGCTCCACACTGAGTCATTTGTCTGATGGAGGTGACTGTGTAGTCATCAAAACATCACACTAAAATCTTCTACTAGTTGTGTCATAAAAACTTTGAATCTATTCCTGCAGGACATTTTTTTTCAATATTACTGAATGAAATTCTGAATATCAGTTATGTTTCAGTATTAACTTGGAATAGCAAAAGGTTACACATGGTGAGGATATCATGTGAAAATCTAAAGTTACAAAAAAAAAAAAAAAAAAAAACCATAAATTCTCCCGAGGGATACTTTTGAAACAACTTACTTTGGATTGGTAACAGAAATCCCCATGAATGACAGATACCTCACACGACACTCATCAATTTTGTTCTCAGGTTTCTGAAATGGTAAGAAAAAACAATGAATTTTGAATATATATATAAAGTATTGGTTTTCCTGGCACCAGTACACGATTTTACTCTGACACTGTGTGTCTGACATCCTGTTTTTGATGGATGAATTCCAGTGCTGATGTGAAGTATAATATCCTGTTGAGGACAACTGTTAAAAAACATCTAAACTCTGTACACTTTCATTTGATTAGTAAGATAAATCTTTTTTGACAAGATCTGTGATGAAGTCTGAAAAATGACCTTTGAAGGTCATTCCTTTCGGTAGACAATTGTTCTTTATACCTAGACAATCTTCTTCGTTTTGTGTTACATCTGTACTTATTTTCTATTTCCTTAAACTTTCTTATGGTCAGGAATGTCAAATATCTACCATACATAGCCTTATATAAACAAAATAGGGTAGGTAATTTCTGCCCTCAAAATAAAATTTCAATGATCCTTCTCTGGTCAAAATAGCTAATATATAAACCCAGAAACATTTATTTATAAGACAATTTCCTGCCTATTTCATGTAGTGGTTTTTTTGACATTTAAAAAGTCAACAGATCGTAATCAGGACCATATTCACTCGTATCAATAACAGAAAAAAGATTCAACTCAACTTCCATGCTGAAATACAGTAGAGTCACATGTGTACAGTTTCTTCACGATTAAATTGTAGCAAAATCCATATCGCCAAATATCCTTTCCTACCTTACATCTGGCAATTTCATTTTAACATCGCAAAACATTTCTGTATCTCAGCTCTTCAGTTTTCCTGAATACTGTATTAGAAAGGTAAATTATACTATATCAAGCATCACTGTGACAGTTTGGACATAATAATCACAAAATGGACCAATCAGACATACCCCATGTTCGGAGATTGTGATGGTAGAGGGAGCAATGTTCACGTTGACAAACAGCCATTTTTCTGGTGGAACTCTCATGAGAGCTGCATCAATAGCCCCATTGATCACCTCTGTACCTGTAAACATACAGTAATCTATGTTAGATGGGAGAAAAGAAAGGTTTGTGAGGTGGGATGAGGTCAGGGAAGGAACAGCTTGTGGGGTGGGGTAAGGTTATTGAGGGAATGGTTTGTGGGGTGGGTGAGGTTTCAGAGGGAATGATTTATGAGGTCGGGTGAGGTTAGGGAGGGACTGGTTTGTAGGTTGGGATGAGGTTAGGGAGGGACTGGTTTGTAAGTTGGGGTGAGGTTAGGGAAGGAATGGGTATAGGGAAGAAATGGTTCCTGGGGTGGATTGAGGTTAGGGAACGAACGGTAGGTTAGGCAGGGACAGGGAAAGGTTGGTGAAGTTACAGGGAGAGACAAGGGAGGATTGGGTTTAATAAAGGAGAGGTAAGAAAGGTTTGGAAATAAAATAATATTTTACCTGTAGGTCTAGTGACACACTCAAGGCCGATATAATGACAACGAATGATCTTCTTAGGCTCTTCCATTGGGGTGGGAAAAGAGGCATCTGGAAATAATACAGGCATTGGTATTAATCTCCAAAAAATCTTACACAGAACACCTCTACTGTATAATATCCTCTCACAGTAACAATAGGCTTCCAACCCTGTCACAAAAATAACATGTATTTCCATCTGAACTAGTGGAAATGAAAGTTTAATTCTTTCTACACACCGAAAGCTGTTTTACTTTCAAAAGAATTGTTTTTCAATAAATCCACCGTTTATCGAATGCAACAGACAGCTAGAAAGCCAACATTGGGAATATATTTCTAACCTTTTGTCCCTTTGAAATGCATATATATTCAATAATTGAAAGGTCTGGTCCATTCTATAAATAAAGGAGCATCAGGTTAATACCCCTGGGACGTGATAAAATTGTATTTGTAGACAATAAAAGTCAAACACTATGAAACATCTGAGATATTACATTAGAATTAATATCAGAATAACGGTGATTACATCACATGATATACCACTATGTTGTAGACACTTGTGTACTAATTTCAGTACCAGCTCTCCCTGCAAATCAATAATCCATTTATAACAAAAACATCAGACAATCTGTTGGAATGCAATGCATCTAGTGAGTTTTTCTTGAAGGATGTTGATGAAACAACGAGGGTACAGAAACTAGCCTGAAGTTAGTAATTCTTTATATACTTACACAACAACTTACTGGTACAGAAACTTGTCTGAAGTTAGTAATTCTTTATAAACTTCCACAACTTACTGGTACAGAAACTTGTCTGAAGTTAGTAATTCTTTATAAACTTACACAACTTACTGGTACAGAAACTTGTCTGAAGTTAGTGATTCTTTATAAACTTACACAACAACTTACTGGTACAGAAACTTGTCTGAAGTTAGTGATTCTTTATAAACTTACACAACAACTTACTGGTACAGAAACTTGCCTGAAGTTAGTGATTCTTTATAAACTTACACAACTTACTGGTACAGAAACTTGCCTGAAGTTAGTAATTCTTTATAAACTTACACAACTTACTGGTACAGAAACTTGCCTGAAGTTAGTAATTCTTTATAAACTTACACAACTTACTGGTACAGAAACTTGCCTGAAGTTAGTAATTCTTTATAAACTTACACAACTTACTGGTACAGTTACAGAAACTTACTGCCTGAAGTTAGTTAGTGATTCTTTATAAACTTACACAACAACTTACTGGTACAGAAACTAGCCTGAAGTTAGTGATTCTTTATAAACTTACACAACAACTTACTGGTACAGAAACTAGCCTGAAGTTAGTGATTCTTTATAAACTTACACAACAACTTACTGGTACAGAAACTTGTCTGAAGTTAGTGATTCTTTATAAACTTACACAACAACTTACTGGTACAGAAACTTGCCTGAAGTTAGTAATTCTTTATAAACATACACAACAACTTACTGGTACAGAAACTTGCCTGAAGTTAGTAATTCTTTATAAACTGGTACAGAAACTTGCCTGAAGTTAGTAATTCTTTATAAACTTACACAACTTACTGGTACAGAAACTTGCCTGAAGTTAGTAATTCTTTATAAACTTACACAACAACTTACTGGTACAGAAACTTGTCTGAAGTTAGTAATTCTTTATAAACTTACACAACTTACTGGTACAGAAACTTGCCTGAAGTTAGTGATTCTTTATAAACTTACACAACAACTTACTGGTACAGAAACTTGTCTGAAGTTAGTAATTCTTTATAAACTTACACAACAACTTACTGTTACAGAAACTAGCCTGAAGTTAGTGATTCTTTATAAACTTACACAACAACTTACTGGTACAGAAACTTGTCTGAAGTTAGTGATTCTTTATAAACTTACACAACAACTTACTGGTACAGTAACTTGTCTGAAGTTAGTGATTCTTTATAAACTTACACAACAACTTACTGGTACAGAAACTTGTCTGAAGTTAGTGATTCTTTATAAACTTACACAACTTACTGGTACAGAAACTTGCCTGAAGTTACTTTATAAACTTACACAACTTACTGGTACAGAAACTTGCCTGAAGTTAGTAATTCTTTATAAACTTACACAACAACTTACTGGTACAGAAACTTGTCTAAAGTTAGTGATTCTTTATAAACTTAAACAAGAACCTAAAGATAACTGGCCTAGAGCATTTACAGACTGAAGCAAAAAACTGTCTTCCAATCCCTGATCCGATTCACTGACAGGTTCATGAAATATCTTGTAAATAAGCTTTTTATTTTAAAAGTTGTTGAGGGTGAACTTTTACTTTTAACCTTGATTGATAATAATCACAATTTTATCAGGTGTACAGCTTAATGCAGAACCTTTTGTGACATCACTCTTTCCAGCGTCCAGTCACCTGTTTCTTTATATATAACATGCTACCTAAATCTGGTTGTGGAGTTTACATTTCACCTTGGCATTTTGGAAGGTGTTTGTTAATCACAAGATATAGCCTAGGGATAAGGATGGGAAATTTTGTAAACAAGGTAAATTGATTAAGATCAGTACATTAAAAAGGGTAGAAAAAATATGTTGGTCAGTCACTCAGCAGAGGTTTATAAACACGGATATCAGTACTATTGACTTCAACACTATTAGTACAATCATGATTATCAGTGATTGTGCAGAAAGTAAACAGTCATAATTGTGGAAATACAGAACAGAATTCTTTTTAATAATGTATTCTGGATAGAACTTGTGAAACGTATTTAAGTACGAGAAAAAAACATTGAAAAAGTTGGACAGAGATTAGTCCATGTTTCTAATTTTTGAAGTGAAAATAAGGTGTAACATTGTAAAATCGAGTGGTGTAAATGAGTGATAAGTCATTATCATATTACAATACTGTCAGACAGATGCATTAACAGGTAGAAACATCCATTTTTCGTTGGAGTGCACTATAACTGAGAGCTGAACAAAGGTAATGGAGAGGTACGAGGCCTTCAGGGTGTATCTACCCAGAATCCTCGGAACTGCACTTAAACTGGATAACAATGTAAGAATTTATATAAGTACAAAGGATGATTAATGACTCAGAACAAAAGAGGATTGGGACAGATCACCATGAACTTTGTCTCAGGTCACTTAAAAAAAACTTTTATTTCATAAATGGTTATGGGTGACCTTTAATACTTCACCTTGACCATGTGCACAAGCAAGCATTTTTTTTCCAAAATTGGTCAAGAATGACCTATGAACTTTAAGTGTAGAACCTGATGGGTTGATGCTGTGGTGTGAATATGGACCAAACCTGTCCCGAGGTTCATGACTTATCTTGTACACAACTTGGCAGCATGGATACCCACATGTACAAAAGGATGTACAACTGCACAGACAAACTGGTTACTGCAAACCCCTTCCTCATGAAATGAAAGGTATAATATAGTATTGGAACACATATTTTCAAGTTGACAGAAATACTTGCAGAGTGTGGAGACTGACTCACTATTATAAAGAGACTGGAAGGACAGTTTCTGCCCATTTGGCTCTGAAGATTTGCCAAGGTTTGGCAGGTCTGTAGGACGACTGAGGCGTTGTACAACTGCATTCTCCTGCAGACGGCGCTCCATCATTATCTTCTTGCAGATATCCCGCAGGCAGTTGGCGATTTGTCGTGCAGGTGTGTCACAACGGAACACATGACACATATGTTTCTTCGTCTGTTTTTCCCGGGCAACGTAAGCAAAGTCCCTGAAATTGTTTAAACCAGTTTTATTAGATATCAAAATGCGTACAAGCATGTACAGCTTATGATCCAATGATATTTGTAGTCATTCATTTGGTGAAAATATTATCATTTATACCCGATATATCTGATAATTAGTGGTCATAAGTGAGATGGAAATTTTCGTGAAGTAAGTATAATTTTACAAATCCTATTAATTAAAAAAAAAAAGGAAATTCGCTGAAAAACAAACTTGGTAGCATTTTATGACACAGAAGCAAAATAACAAGATTCTCTAATGTGTGAAAACCATGATTCTAATAACAAATAATAAATGAAAATAGCATTTCTAAATCAGACATGATATTCATTTTATCTCTTTGTAGCCCTTGGTGATGTGTAACATGCATAGCAGAAATGTCACATGATATATGCAATCAAATTTCCGAGCAATTTTAAGTTTTAAATACCCACATTATGTAAATTCTATTTAATTTTTGTTGAGTCAGACTTATTCCATCATAGTCAGGTAAATCACTTTGAAACAAAAATCAATATTATTCAATATCATTTTACATATGGAACACTGCACACGAAATTAACACCATTTTTCTCTCATCATTTTATATAATTCAGGAACATCTAGCTACCCTGAAGCTAAATAAGAGTCATTTTTATCAAATAACTTTTTTGTTTGCATGCATGATATTTTGAGCGTTTATGGAATTACATTTTCATAGGCGAATAAATAAATAAAGTATGAAATAATCATGCCTGGATGATTACAGAATAGCCAGTAGCTAGGATCAATAATGTCCTCATGATGAGTCCTAAAACCTAAAGTTTTACATGACTGTGATGAAACATGTATCAGGGGACAACCTCAAACCAAATTCTGGTCTCTCTTGATGATGAAATTTCAAACCAATTACAAAAAATGCCTTAAAACATCTCTATCACAGAGAGAACTAAATTGTATTTGATACTGATAACTTGCAGCTAAATGAAAAAATGATAAAATATATTACCACCTTGGTACAGAATGACCTCTAAACTGGAGCCTTTGTAATATGTATACCTGTGTATACTACATACTCAAAATCTACTAGTTCCAATGTATATGTTTCTAAGTATCCCTGTATAATCTGGACACCTGTGTAAACCATACCCTCTACAAGGTCCCAATGTATGCATTTCTATATATCACTGTAACTGAAAGAATGTGCTAGACCTGTTGTTAAACTCAAGTTCATCTTTATCTTAGTCTTTGAGTCTTCTTATTTCAATGAAGGAATCTTTTTCAACAAGAGATCTCAGAGGGATCTTGGCGCCCACCATTGTTTGATCTTTATTTGCTCTTTGAAAGTTGGATCTTTTCCCACATTACTCTTCTCTTCTGTGTGTTTAGTACTTCTTAAGAAATAGGGATAAAAATCTTTACTAGGCAAGATGGCTTTCTGTCAGCTTTTGTTTTTTTTTTCACTCCCAAACTCAAACAGTCACAACTAGGGACAAAGAAGGACCTATACATGAAATTTCAAAAAGATCTACACAGTATTTCTCAAGAAATAGCTATTACAAAGTTTTGAAGCCAAAATCCAAGATGGCCATCTGAAGGCAATTTCCTTTTTCTGATCAGGACCAAAATCAAACAGGCACAACTAGGGATCAAGGGAAACATACACATGAAATTGGAGAATGATCTATATTGTTGTTTTCAAGAAATAGAGATAAATTTCAAAGTCAAATTCAAGATGGCTGCTTGTCAACCATTTTTGTTTTTCTAATCAGTACCAAGATCAAATAGGCATAGGCACAACTGGGGATCAAGGGAAACATACACATGAAATTGGAGAATGATCTATATTGTTGTTTTCAAGAAATAGAGATAAATTTCAAAGTCAAATTCAAGATGGCTGCTTGTCAACCATTTTGTTTTTCTAATCAGTACCAAGATCAAATAGGCATAGGCACAACTAGGGATCAAGGGAAACATACACATGAAATTGGAGAATGATCTATATTGTTGTTTTCAAGAAATAGAGATAAATTTCAAAGTCAAATTCAAGATGGCTGCTTGTCAACCATTTTGTTTTTCTAATCAGTACCAAGATCAAATAGGCATAGGCACAACTAGGGATCAAGGGAAACATACACATGAAATTGGAGAATGATCTATATTGTTGTTTTCAAGAAATAGAGATAAATTTCAATGTCAAAATTCAAGATGGCTGCTTGACAACCATTTTATATTTCTTATCAGTACCAAGATCAAATAGGAATAGGCACAACTAGGGATCAAGGAAAACATACGCATGAAATTGGAGAAAGATCTATGCAGTAATTCTCAAAAATTAGCAATAACAAACTTTCAAACTCAAAATCCAAGATGGCCACCTGTCGGCCATTTTTTTTTCTGTTCCTACCAAAAATCAAATGGGCACAACAAGGGACCATGGGGAACCTATATATGAAATTTAAGAAAGATTCATCAAGTACTTCTCAAAATATAGCAAATAACAAACTTGCAAAGTCAAAATACAAGATGGCCTTCTGTCAGCCATTTTGTTTTTTGATCAGTCCAAAAACTTATTGGACACATCTAGGGACAAAGGGAAACCTACATAGGAAATTTGAGAGAAATTCATCTTGTACTTTTCAAGAAATAGCGATAACAAACTTCATTGAAAAAATCCAAGATGGCCGTCTGTCAGCCATTGTCAGTCCCAAAATCAAATGGGCAAAACTAGGGACAAACCTACATATGAAATTTGAGAAAGATCTATCTAGTACTTATAGAGAAATTTGTTTATGGACTACATAAGGCAATTTGAATAGCCTCCCATCTGATGATGGTGGTCTAAAAAAATGATAAGTAAAATCTAAAAGAAATGTAACAACATCGAAATAATATTTGGTGTGAAAATTAGAATTCTCAAAAATTGATTTGAAAAAATAATAAAATAATCAAAAGTAAAATTGCACTAAAATTGAGCACATTTATTAGATTATATGACAAGGTCTTTCAGACAAAACTCCAAAACAAGGGAACAAAGAGAAATGTGTCGTAAGTGATACGTTCAAGCCAACCATTTAAAATTGAATTTCTTCAAAACGAGTTCTTAATAAATTTAATTTGCATCTGGAAATGTGTTCCCAATATGGCTGATTGAGCTCCAATGCTGGTTGTATTCATGGTTGGTAATCTGATAAGAGATATGAGAAACTGTTTCTGGGGAGAATGTGCAGTACAACACTTAAAACTGTTCACACACAACACTAAAACGATCAATTCTGACACACAATGACGACACACAGATAAAAAGGTGGCCATGCTTTCTGATCTATTTACCTTTCTCTGTCAATGGAAGGCACAAATTTAAAGACAAGGACAGACATTACCATCCAGTAAACAGTATAATGTCACCAGCAACAGTATGGCTGGCACCAGGGGGGACAAATCTTGTTATTTACACATCACAATCAAATTACAGTGATTAATCCCTCAAAACCTGCACAGAGGTGCCAGTTTTCTATACTTTCTAGACGCCAAATTTTTGTGTTGTTTGTTTCAATTTCTACCTAATACACCTCTGGCTTGGAGGTATTTTCGGTGAAATTTGTTTGCACCTGTATTTGTTCTGATTAATCTAAGAAAAACAGTTTTGTAATAATTCATAATTTTTTCTTTGTATGAATCATCTTTTATCAACAGATTTAGTATTGGCAAATGAACTGATAGGTGTAATAAGGGAAAACATACTGCCAAAATGGAATGTTATTCTCAATGAACACATACAAGTAAACCAAAATTATTGAAGTTAAAAACAAATTTAAAAATTGTTCATTCATTTATAGTAAACATTAAGCTATGTCTGTAAAATCATAGATTTTTAGGGTGCTCAAATTTTGCAGTATTCAAAGATTATAAATTTTTGTTGGCACTTAATTTTGTGGTTAAATCTTGCCGATCAAATCTGCCAGTAATACAATCCATGTCAACTTTTGTTTATTTATATATTTCATCAACACATCAATACCTGGAATTAGTATACCAATGAATTCAACAAAATGAAATCCTCCACAATTACAGTAACCAGTTTCCTTTCCATTACTGTGGATACTTAAGAAAACCTTACAGAAATAACACAGAATTGTGGTAAGGCTTACTTGCCATTATTATGACTGACCCCTAAAATTCCTGATGGAATGGGTTGGTTGTGATTCTTACCTGCCATTATCACGGCCAACCCCCCAGACCCTGATGGACTGGATTGGTTGTGAGTTAAGGGTGGAAAAGTCCTGGGTGTCCACCAGTCTGAGGCTGTGTCGGTCCAGATCCAGGTATAGATCCTTACCCTGTCATCAACAAAAATTGGTAAGTTTTAATCTTTGTAAAAATTCTATTGTTCTAACTGTAAAGAGTCAGAAGTAAAATCTGTTAGATCAAGTTAATTCCAATTAAATCTTTTTGGGTTATTTTCATTCATTCCTGTTTTTCTTTAAAGTCTTATAACCAGCATAATGTGGAAAATAATCAAATAGTGTTACAAAAAACAATGAATTTCAATGACAAAAAACATGTTCATATAATTATTGATACTGACTCTCAAGCAGGCTGATCAACTTCTGTACGTTACAGGCCGATCAACTTCTGTACGTTACAGGCCGATCAACTTCTGTACGTCACAGGCCGATCAACTTCTGTATGTCACAGGCCGATCAACTTCTGTACGTCACAGGCCGATCAACTTCTGTACGTCACAGGCCGATCAACTTCTGTATGTCACAGGCCGATCAACTTCTGTACGTCACAGGCCGATCAACTTCTGTATGTCACAGGCCGATCAACTTCTGTACGTCACAGGCCGATCAACTTCTGTAGGTTACAGGCTGATCAACTTCTGTATGTCACAGGCTGATCAACTTCTGTATGTCACAGGCCGATCAACTTCTGTATGTTACAGGCCGATGAACTTCTGTACGTCACAGGCCGATCAACCTCTGTACGTCACAGGCCGATCAACTTCTGTACGTCACAGGCCGATCAACTTCTGTACGTCACAGGCCGATCAACTTCTGTACGTCACAGGCCGATCAACTTCTGTATGTCACAGGCCGATCAACTTCTGTATGTCACAGGCTGATCAACTTCTGTATGTCACAGGCTGATCAACTTCTGTATGTCACAGGCCGATCAACTTCTGTATGTCACAGGCAAATCAACTTCTGTATGTCACAGGCAAATCAACTTCTGTATGTCACAGGCCAATCAACCTCTGTATGTCACAGGCTGATCAACTTCTGTAGGTTACAGGCAAATCAACTTCTGTATGTCACAGGCCAATCAACTTCTGTATGTCACAGGCCGATCAACTTCTGTATGTCACAGGCAAATCAACTTCTGTATGTCACAGGCAAATCAACTTCTGTATGTCACAGGCTGATCAACTTCTGTATGTTACAGGCCGATCAACCTCTGTATGTCACAGGCTGATCAACTTCTGTATGTTACAGACCGATCAACCTCCGTATGTCACAGGCCGATCAACCTCTGTATGTCACAGGCCGATCAACTTCTGTATGTTATATACCTGGTATTCACAAGTTTTGTCACACAGATCTATCTCTCCATATTCAGACCTAGCAGACCGATCATCCCCGCCATATTCAGACCTAGCAGACAGATCTATCTCTCCATATTTAGACCTAGTAGACAGATCATCCCCACCATATTCAGACCTAGTAGACAGATCTATCTCTCCATATTTAGACCTAGCAGACAGATCATCCCCCCCCCATATTCAGACCTAGCAGACAGATCATCCCCTCCATATTTAGACCTAGCAGACAGATCTATCTCTCCATATTCAGACCTAGTAGACAGATCATCCCCTCCATATTCAGACCTAGCAGACAGATCTATCTCTCCATATTTAGACCTAGTAGACAGATCATCCCCTCCATATTCAGACCTAGTAGACAGATCATCCCCTCCATATTCAGACCTAGCATACACATCTATATCTCCATATTCTGACCTGGTAGACGGATCAACCCCTCTATATTCCAACCCATGAGACATTCAGAGAGACCAAAACAACCCAAGTGGCTTACATCTCCCCAGCGACCAACAACATCGTTGATGTCGTTACGTCCAAGTGACAGATCCACAATGCACTTGTTGACTGCCCTGCTGCTCCTCTCTGGGGTCAAATCCTCCTCCGCTATACGGACCCATCCGAGGGAACGCACAGCGAACCGCATCGGCTTTTCTGCAGGTGGTTCAGGAGACTGAACTTGGAGATTCCCAGAAGACCTACAAATCAATTTTCACAAAAGTTACACAAGTTTTCTTGGTCAGACAAACAATGCAGTGTATACTGTTTTCATGTTTTCTGGTCATCTTGAATCATAAATGATGACTGAAAATCAACAATCAGGATGGCAATTAATGAAATTTCATGTTATGATGAAGTTTTCCTCTTGATTATTACTAAAGAAACAAAGACAATAAATATATATATGTAAAAATAATTTACTTGCTATGTATTTTAAAGGTCACACTGCCATGAAAGGCTTTGTGTTTAAGCAGACAGGTATGATGCATGGTCAATTGGATTCTATATACTTTCTTATAAGAAGTTATTGACCGCCCCTTAGTCTAGTCTCATAACAAATTGAAAGGCTATTCAACTCCTATATTGGTATAAAAGACAGAAACATAACGGAGATTACAATTGCTTGCATCATTGAGGTGATTCAGCGATTCCTGTACAGCTAACAACATTCCTGCATTGATTTTATATATATTGTCTATTGGCTAATCCATATATCTCAAAGTAAGAATAAATAAACACAATGTAAGGTCTTCGTCCTGAAACAGAACAGTAAAACAATCCACGAGATATATGGAACAATAGCCCTAGGCTCCGGTCTAGTGCCAATAGGGTGTTACAGAATAGGGGGCCTATAGGACTTAAGACGTTTTCATTCAGACCCTAACCTTTTACAAAAGATTACAAAATGTTTCTCTTGTTTAGATAACGAGTGGAAATATAAAAAATATAATAATTATCTTTGTTTGCTGTTGCATTAAATTCTCTTTTTTTCGCCAATTGATTGAATTTTCAATCATCATTGGCATCACGTTTTCTTTTTGCCATTTCAAAACTTTGATTAGTGAGTAATCATATCATTGGAAGAAATCTGTCTTTCTGTTTTACCCCGCGCCAAGTGTATTGTGGAGCAGAACAATATAAAAGTATGCCCATCCCTCATCAAAGAGAAATACATCACTATATCATAATCAATGGAAATGAAAATCAGTGTCGCCAATCGCTTATATCTGGTCATGACCTTAAAATTCAAGGGTGACAGGGTGTTTTAACCGGTCTTCTGGTAAAAAAATCTTAAAATCAATTCTACTGCACAGTTATCACTTCTGTGTTTATTCAGACGATGTTTTCTATAATGTCTGAACAATATTCTGACTATATTGGATCCAAAAATTGAATTAGAAATTTTTATAAATGCTGATCAAAATATGAGAACTGTCAGTCAATTCTTGCATTTTTTCATGATTTTAAGCAGGTCATGATGTTGCCATTATCAGACTGATGTGACGAAGTCAGGTGAGTTGATGACACTGAATAAAAATGATCTAATCATATTGCCATCAAGAAAGCAAAATCACGTCATTTAAAGTCTATCAAATCTGAACAAAGTAAAATGAATTACAATCTAATAATCAAATCAAAAAGCTAAAAAACAAAGGACAATAACTCTTCCTAAACTTGTTGAATCGAAATGCCATGGGGAACTGTGGTGTTATATGTTTTGATGATTCAGAAAGATTGGTTGAAAACGGAGACAAGCAATCTCTGAACAAGATCACAGTTAAAAAGTCTGGAATAAGTAGGTTTAAAACAGAGAGAATCAATACCTCTGACAAGATTAAGGTTATGAAACAAAGGCGGACAGGAGACTCCATCAACCAGAGTTGAATGAAATTGCCATTCAGGAAAAAAAAAATACATATCATCATGATTAAGTCAATCAAATTACAGAAAAAATGTTAGTTTATGAAAAATGGATGAAAGAAATGAAATCTGAATATTTAAATTCTAAGAGAAGGAATGAAACAAGCTTTTGAAATAGTACATGGTAATAATTACGATGGTAGCTAACCATACTTACAGGGACTGGAGAGACTTGGCAGCATACTGTAGAGCATGACCCTCAAACGTCTTGAGGTGTTCCTCTGTGTTGGAGTTAATACTGGAGGGTGTAGACACCACAGAACTTGTACTTGTCCCCGACAGCGTGCTCTGTGAAACAGTCACAATGGATACAATAAAACGAAACACCTTGAACAAGCAAAAAGAAAACAAAATTTTCAAAGTTCTTGACAGAAAGTTCAATCTCAGAAAGTTTTCCAAAATGGTTGAAGAGATTCAACTCTATGCAAAAAGATCTCTGAAGAAATTAAATATGGCTTAAATAAAAACAAACAAAACAATTCAAACATCAGTATCTTCCAGCAAAATATTCATAGTTAAAAATATTGTCAAAAATCCAAGTTGACAGAAAACAACTGATTTGAAGTAACAGTAACATTTATGATGACTGAGTACAAGACAGTTTTTAATATTTCTGCACTGCAAATTGCCCCCCTTGGATCAACTTTCATTGAAACATAAACAATTTGCCTTGAAATAATAACAAGTTTATGAGACAACCTCTCTTTTTATATCATTAAAATCACTTTTGAAAAAATTCACTTTGGTATATTGTAGAAGTCTAAATGAAATGAAATTGAAATAGTATCTCTTCATGCTAATTGTTTCATTAAAAAAAAAAAAAAAAACGGTCATCTGACATAAAATTCAAATTTTGAACTTGAGAAGAAGTCGAAAATGTGTTTTCAAGATGGCGGCCATGTTGGATTTCGGACCAACCCGAAATTAACAAACTTTGGTCAGGATCATGTCACGATCATTTCATGTAAGTTTTAGCTCAATGAGACATGTAGAACTTGAGAAGAAGCTGAAAATGACGCCGCCGGACAAAAGGCGATCGCAATAGGTCATCAGACCCTTCGGTCAGATGACCTAAAAGTGAGTCTTAAAAATAAAGTAATCTACCTGTATTTGTAGACACGGAAAACGGAAACAATCTAGAGTACATACTACATAACCCATATTTGGTTCTATTTTTACCATTACTATCCTACTAATCAAGCAGGAAATGTCAACTAAACCCAGTATTATCTTTGAAATTACAAACTGACATTCTGTAACAAAGATCCCGTATAGAAGATGCGGTGATCTTATTATAATCATCATGGGTACACAGGCTCTATCTACTGAGATCCAGGGTATATATCATCCCCAGAGGTTGTACAAATGGCAACCACAGATTAAATCTCAGCTACTGACACACTTACAAGGATAAATTTTCTCAGACAACCATATCACCAAAGACGTTGTAAGCCAAAGCTTGGAAATTACACCATCAATAATTAATTATGAATTTTTGTTATTGAATCTAGACAACCTCAGGTTAAATCTGTGATATAACATCTGAAAGGTCAATGTTGTAGTTAGGTGATGTTGCTCTGCTGGTTTTTACTAATATTAACAGACACGAGATGTTCAAAGACAATTCAAAGAAGACAAAAAATTGTATAAGATACACTCTGTCATAGTGCCAATGATGGTAACTTGAAGTCATTAACATTTTTTCCATACAATGACTTTGTTATATAAACCAGATGGTAGTTTCAATGTCTCATCTTGGGGTCATCAGCAATCTTATGCGAATCTAATGAAGATAACAGATGTAAAAATTTCTGATTCACCTAAAGATATTGAGATGATTCATGAGGTGAACACCTGTAATTCACTAAGTTGGTTAACATTTAGAGTTTGTGTATTTATTAAAGAGGTGTCTTAACCAATAAACCTATAGAAATGTGAACTTAAGAGGACTATTGGAAACAATTACTTATTTTAATAATAGATCTGCATTGAACTAAGAAAATATGAACTTGCGACACTTGGAAACAAATACTTTTTTCTCGTAATAAATCTGCACTGAACAAAGAAAAATCTGAACTTACAAAGTAGAAAAGAAGGGTCTCGAAAAATCTTAACTTGCAGATTACTTTAACAACACATGCAGAGTAATGAAGAGCCTGAACTAACAGGATTATATCAAAGTGTGCCACACTGTACTCTAACTGGATATTATGCAAATGATATGTAAATGAGATTCAAAATATGGTAATTGTGACAGAACACTTGGGTCTTCTGATCCCTTGATTAAAAGCTGTGTAATGATGTTAAAAGTATGATCTGACCAAGTCTATGGGGTATAAATGAGTTTTAGGAATGTCGAAAAATACAAGATACAGTAGGTATTGGAGTGACAAGAGCCAGGATAGTGTTGAACCAACATCACTTGTAGGAATATCTGGGATAAATTACAAAAATTATAAAACATGTTTCTTAATTAGCATAAATCCTAAAATCTGTCATTTACATCATCCATTAGAAACACTCTATAAACACATCATACATGGAAATGTCTGATGAAAAACAACAAAACTTTCCCAAAAATGAAAACGTGATTTATAACTGATTCACTGAAACAGGAGAAGTTTCTAAGTTTGCTGGTGTTTTCTGCAGATGCCACCATACTAAAATGCTATGAACTGCTGGCTTTCATATCAGAATGAAAGACCTGTAATTTGCCACCCCATTCGCGAAATGCCTAAACAGTAGCCCTGTTGATGATGCTCTGAATCAGTCCTATTTTCATAAAACTTGTACTTTAACGCCAAAAACCTTTATCTTGGAGGGTCTTAGATGACAGCTTCTGTGTTTGGAGTTGCAATTTTTAGAAGCTGTAATTACCACGGAAGACATCAATGAAACAAGTGTTTGCCAGTTTAGAGAAAAGGTCTGTGAGATCACAACAAATATAACACTTGCGGATTTTCCGAAGTGAGTACCGATCACCTGAATGTGTAATGAGACTATGACTACAAGTGGTTATAGAGTAATAAACTTTGATATATTTTAAAGTACACTTTTTGCACTACCACTTACAGGTAATACCTCCAGTGAAATAGTTACCTCTGTATTGATACTGTAAGTCAGAACAATGTTACAAAGGACCCTCACCTGTGCTTAACTTTTCAACATAATGGACAAGTAAACCATATTGTGACCTTTACCTTTGATCTTTTAATCATACCTTCAGTATGATATGATCATATACTCTCTCTACATGAAAATGAAGTATGAGATCCGTTACTCCTAAGAAACTATAAATATAGTAATCAACCTAAAGGATGACATGATTTCAATACGCTAACATCAATATTATTTATAAACCTCGATCAAATGTACACCAGATAATTGACTGTCATCAGATTTCAGGGATACGTGGTACCATAAAACCAGCTATCAGAATCCCCTGTCAAGACTTCAACTCTCATTGTTTCATCATAGCAAATAGCCAATTAACTTCTGTACCTGCTTGGTAATTGGAAACTTCAAAATTTCACTTGTTACCTAATTACTCAAATATAAAATTAGCTCTTGGAAAATCAAAAGAAACAACACAAAGAGACCATTAAGATGGTAATTCATCATTCGTAAAACTATCCCTGCTTGCTACATCCTCGCCTTGTCAATGTCTCCCCCATTAAATGTCTCCTTTTACGCATGATCTAGGGCACAAATCGGCACTTTTATCAATTCCACTGTAATGGATTAGAAAATGCCCTTTTTCTAGAATAGAATTGAGATAAAAAAAGTGCTTAACACTCTCTAGTTCTTTTTCAACAAAGTTAAATCATGGATCGTTTTAATATGTGCATGACAACAGCACTTGGACCATCAATAACTAGATAAAAGTATCTTTAAAGCAAATCCTGGAAATGATATCCCAAAGGATTTCATTAATTTCATAATATATTACTGGCAAAAACATTGTTCTGAGGAAGTCATCGGTCAGCTATTATAAGGGTGTTTTGTTACTTATAAGTGCACATCAATCCTTAGGATAGAATAAATGCACTTAAGTCCTGTGTATAGACAATTGCATCATTCTAGACCTGTTGCAGACCATCGCACTGATGTAGACTGCCTCACTGTTCTTAAAACCATCACACCATTCTAGAATATCACACTGTTTCACACATAGTAGATCTTTGCTTTGTTTTAGACCATCATACTGTTGTACACAGTCACGCCTTTATAGACTGACACATCAACATCCTTAGCGTATTATCAATGCACTGACATTCAACGATGAAGTTAAGCATTGAATTCAGTTCAATTTTAGTTGACATTCCTGGGCATCATGAATGCCAACTAGATAAAGGCAAGTTTAAATTAACACAAAGCGGTTCAGCATTTACCCTTTTGCAGTTGGCATTCATAGAGTTTCTGAATGCCAACTGTGTTCAGTTTCAAGTTAATATATATCAAAACTAATTCACAGTTTATGTAGATGATCGTTTACAATGTCTCAATGTTAGTACAATCTTTACAAAATTCTACATATATTTCTTAATCTGAAATGTATTGCAAATTATAATTCAACAATGAGCTAAAAATAGAATCGACAGTGCATTAAATACTGACCAAGCCAGGCTTACTTATCTCTTGATTTCACAAAGAATTTCAAATAGAACAATCGAGAAATACTTCAAAACATGAGGTGGAATACATACACTGTCACTGTTGACAGATATCGATCTCAAGGTCGTTGGTTTGGTCTCCGGTGGGGCAGGAGACGGTGGCTCCCTCTGGATGGTTCCACTCTTGACGTGCCAATAGTATGGTCCGTCTTCATCTGTCAATCACAACACAAGTGAAATGTAACATCTGAGCCACTAAAAGCTAATTGCATTTCAATGTCCCCAGAATGCCCGAGGACTGTTGGGGAGCTAGCATCAGTGGCCTACTCCATGTACTGTCTGCTTAGAGAAGGAATTCATCAATGAAATCATTTTCTCCCATTTCCATCCCATTATCGCGTTTCCAGTACAGTAACTTCTTTTGAAAATTAGTAAAAAAAAAAAGCCACTGTTAAGCCAATTCACCAAACATCTTTCTATAACCAAGAGTTGAGGATAAAACTTTGTGGGAAAAAAAATCATTGAACAATTTCGTTGAAAGTCAGAACTACAAACCTGTTCCAATAATGGTTTCATTCCTATATATGGCTTTTGGTCTAATAAAAATTCCAAGTGCCAAAGCTAGTGTAAAGGATATTCTGTTTTACAGAGGAGATAAGCAATCAATAACTTTAATATTTTATAAATCAGTAGTAAGTCGCTACAGTACGATAGCATCTCTTCACAGTACCAATGCCAACTTAGCATTTTATTTTACCTACATAACAAATGCTAGGCCTCCTTTTTATTGAGAAACACAGACTATCTGACTGTTTGTCAGGTCCCAGGATATTTTCTTTCCATTCAAACATTCTGCTAATCGACCATGTTAGATAAGTTTATCCACTATACAATGGCTAATCTGTGTCCTCTAGAGGCTCTGATTACCACCAATGGCGTCAAACCACCATACTCTAAACACTGTTCCCCATATACCTATAGAACACTTCTCAGTATGAATTACCTCTGCCATTGGGAAAATCGGAATTAAGTACTAGAGAAATGTGTGTGAATAAACTGATAATCATTTTCAAGAGAAAAAACATACTGCTGGTACTTGTCAGTGGTGATTCTCTTACTGTGAAAGACAAGGAGGATACTGTATTCCTATCCTAGTGAGATATACATTAACGTATTTGAAGTGTATGATTTTGTGAAATTTGAAATTCTTTAACTAAACCTTGCAAACTCCATATATTAGAAATATCATGAAAATAAACCTTATTCACTTGGGGGGTGTTAAGAACTTTTTAAACTAGTTATACAAACTGATTTTCTGACAGAGTGCAAGCATTATAGCATAAGTGAATTTGTGTATGCATAACCAGAAACCACAGGAAGTACTTATGCAAACTTTGAGGAAGATCCATCCAGTACTCGAAATTTAGTGTTTAAAAATGTTATCGGTCAAAATCTTTGATGGTTGGCTGTCACTGAAAGTGACATTCAAACTGTAAACAGAGCAGCATAAGGAAATATGTAACACAAGACATTGTTAAAGGATGGCCTTAGTTCATGTAACACAGACATGATATTGTTAAAGAAGGATGGTCTTAATTGAAATAGTGGAATAAATTCAATATGATACTTAATGTTACTAATAATTGACAAAAAACTGTGATAATGGTGAAATGAAAAATGAGAGTTTTATGCTGCGGCCAATTTTCGTAACTTCAAAAGATAACAGTTTTAGATAGGGCTTTTGATTTCCAATTTGTTTTGTTTTCAAGGTTACACAGGTTTGTTTGTGACCAGATTTGAAAAGATGATTCATGCTTATATTATTGCCTTAAAATTTCTCAATCTATTTTCCTGGGAAAAACTTCAGAAAAAACCCTTGTAATAGAACTATCAAATAGGAAAATAAATTGTGACATGTACTGTCCTCTATTACATATCTTACAGTATAGAGTTGGCCCAAAGGAAAATACATTGAGACAGGCACTTATGTTTACAGAGTGTTCTACCTGACTTGGTGGCTGTTTTATATCACAAAGAGAACCAGTCTTTCAGGGCTGATATGAAAGGAACTTTTCAAAGACTGCCAAACGCCTATATAAAGCAATGTATGTTGCTGTCTCCAGTCCTCAGTGTAATGCTCACTCTGGTGTTTGGAGTACATACTTAGTTTCATCCAAAATATTCAAAGTCCTTTTTTTTTCTTTATACTTTCAGATATCTAAGTTATGAATGAAGGACATTTGCAAGGCTCACGACGTAAAGTGATAACACCTAGAAAAATATTTGAAAAAAGGAAGGGGGGAAAAAAATCCTTCCAAATTTTGGCCTGCTTTTGTAAATTATGCAGGGACGTTACTTAAGGAAATTCCATTTGATCAAACTGTCTTTTGTTACAAATGCACAGAACCCATTAAAACAAGTCAATAATTCAAACTATATTACCATGCAGAAACACGCCAGTTTATTTGGAAATGGCACAGTATGTTTGCCGGTCTCAGTAAGTGATGTTCATACATGCGAAATGGTTGTAATTTCTAACTTTATTACAATGCACTACCTTCCAGACATATCGATGCCCCTCACTACATATCTGTTTTCTTAATGTCTCATACACAAAAAATAAACAACAAAGGCATAATTGAATCATTATAGATGGTACCAATTAATGTCCTGATAAAACAACATCATATCAAATTTTAAAACTATTGTTACGCTAACAAGACAAAATGTGATGCTTATAAACTATTGATATTGAAATAGATGCTAGTGTTTCTCTTATTTTCTTTCTTTCATTTTCTTTCCCTGTCATGTCAGTTTTATGAAGTATTACATAAACAATACACATTGGTAAACTGCTGTAGTGGAACTTATTAATAATGTTGATGTTCCATTGCTTCTGCTGAGCTTCAGACTCTACGCACCTCAGGTTTACCAGTCAGATGTGCTGCAGATGCAGATTAAAAGCGAAATTCTTCCTTAATAAGTATATAGGAATCGCTTATATCAACCTTACATTTTTAATGCTAAGAGTGATACAACAATTCTTTGACAAGATAATTGTCATTATACAGTATATCACTAATATCTTAAAAAGTATTGTTAACCACTTGCAAAATAGAAGTTAAAAAACAATACCAACAAACATTAAGAAACAGAAATATTCATTTAACTGGTGATATCTTTCCTAAATGTCTGAATATCAAAGCTCATTTTTTAACCCAGGATCATCTACATCACAATTATCAACATCTAAAAATAACCTTCAATATTTACATCTTTTTACACTGTATCTTTTAATTCATTATTGCATACTATACACAACCTTTATATAGAACTTAAAACACCTTTTGCAATACTTTTTAACAATGAAAAAAATTTTGAAATGAGCATTTTAACAGCATAGGAGCAAATTATAGAAGTTAGGCAACGCAACTGTCAAAAGGTTGTCAAAAGACAATTCCTTCTGGGAATCAGAAACAACAGTAAACTCCAAGTGAATGACACCTGAAGAGCCACAGAGCATCATAGCCACAGAGCATCATAGCCACAGAGCATCATAGCCCTCTTTTTGTAAAAAAACACAAGGGACTTGCAGTTCTTCAAGTCCAATGAATTCATTGCTTCTGAAATGAGCTATAAAATGTTTTATCAACTAGATGGAAACCGAGCTGAAAAATATAAAGGTCGCAGATCCCGATCTTTAATGAACTGATGTAGTACAACTGAAGTTATGTTTGTATCACATTTTTGAATGAATGAAAGAAAAGTAGATTTGCATAAATGGAGTTAAATGGCAAAAATATGACATATTATGAACTGATACTAATATTTATTAACGAGGAAACATGCAAGTTGAATGTCTCACCTTCACATTTCTCCCATCCCGCAGGCAGCACTGTTGTATCCTTGTCGTTTTCCTGTTAAGGAGAAAAACAACATGTACTTAAAATGTTATAAATGTACAACATTTACACCTACTATATAAAGGAAAGTGTATATTACATAGAACACCAGGAGAATCGTACCAGTATTATATAACCCGCTCACACAGAATGGTACCAGTATTAAATAACCCACTCACACAGTACCAAACATAACACTGATGAGATGTGCCTACTTTAAACTCTAGTGATACAGCCCAGAATTACTACTTTAATAGTTCAAATGTCAGGTATATTACAATGCAACATGTTTTTAAATTCAGATGTTACATTTCGCCCAGTAGAGACAAGGTCACAATAGAAAAATTAGTGAATTCATTTGTATCTCTGTAAATCCTACTGAACTGTCTCAGTCGGACTGTCCTTGTTAATATTTCTTTTCTTTTGAGATCTATAAGGCAAGCAAACTGTCTATAAAGGCCACTAAAGGTAAAAGAGAATGTGGTTTCAGTACAAGATCCAAAGCCAGTGGTTGTCATAGGCAGGTTTACATTATAAAAAGGTGGCCTTTATATACAATACATAAATCTCTCCTTTGATATCACACTGACAGTATGTCATATTGTCATGTATAGAACATAAATTGACTATAACCAGTTACTACCTGTACTTTGTTTTACAGTTAAATGATTCTGTCTAACCCAACTTGATCATGTTAAACCTTACAAACTTACCTCATAATCTCCACATTTTGTAAATAGGACTAATGCCATCTACCCAAATCTCGATAACTCTGTTGTATACTCCAGTTTCTTTGCTGTTAAGATATCTTAGTGTTTCTTTCTGTTACTTAGACATGTTATCATAATATTCTGTATCATTATTTATATGGACTTTTTCTTATTACTAATCATGAAAATTGATATGAAATCATGATAAAACGTACATCACTCCTTCAAATCAGTATAGGTTTTCAAACATCGCAAAAACTTTATAAAGTGGGAGTCCTGTAAAATATGATTTTTTTAAATGTGCTGTAAGCATTGTGTGCTGAATAACACTGATTAAAGTCTCCCTGGTGCATTATTGGAATTGTACTCGAGGTCAACTGTCTGCTCTCTGTTTAATTAAGTGAACCTGGTTGATATGAAGCATGCTTATCAAATAAATATGTGTCAGTGACTGCCTAACAATCTTCAACCATTGCTTTTATGGTCATTATTTTCCATGACCTTGTTCAGGATATTGTGTAGGACGTTGATCCTAACAGGATCTTCTTATTACCTCTATATTGTGATATTTTAATTACGAGAAATCTTACAGTCTGTGAGCAGTGATGGCCACAAAGATAGAAGCAATCTCATCACCAGACATTGAAATGTCTGAGTTCCAGACATCTCTTACTATCACACTAATACCGCCACAAAAGGAGATACAGGGGTCATAAAATCCTTGTATCTGACCCTATAACCTCTCGCATAACAGATCAGTTTCTAAACCAGAAATAATAATATCCATTGTTTTTTTTTCAATAAAAACTAGAGCTATCATCCTGATGATAACTAATCCCCCCTTCAGATGCGAAGATCTCTATATCCCAAATTTGGTCAAACCTCCATCAAAACTGTCCAAAAAAAATTTTAATTGATTTTTTTTTTGTGTGTTCTCTAAAACCTCTATAAACAAAATTAGTTAGACATAAGACAATATTTTATTTTCAACCAATACGAGGGCATAATTTGCATTGTTGTTGATAAAAAAAAAAAAATTCAAGTAGTAATGTTTGTCATCTCTTAATGCCTCTATAAACCAAACTTGGCTGAAAGCATCAATATCTAAATTCCAAACAATTAGAGGCCACCATTTGAGTTAGCATGATTGTGTTGCCATAGTAACAGTTTCTGAAACATGAAATGTGTCACAATATAGGTTTTGATTAGTTATACCATTTGACCTTAGTCAAATAATAAAATCTGTTGAATGACCAATGAGTAAAGACCATTTATAGTAAAACTTGTTTATAATTACCAGTTACCATGGCAACCAAAATTCTTGAAAAAAAAAACCAAAGAAAAAACTCATCAAAGGTGTGAACTAAATTTCATGTCAACTGAATGCTTAGAAAGTGTCTGTTTTTCAAAATGCATAGCATTCATTTTTTAAATAAAAGTAGGATAACTCTGATATGGGAGGGAAAATGCAAAGTCACTTCAGGATGCACATCTCCATATTGTACAGGTCATTCCAATAAAATTTCAAAAAGATCCCTTTTTAACTGAGTGAATGCATAGCCAGACAAAATTGTATTTAATTTTTTCAACATAAAAGAGGGAGGAAAATGTGAAGACACTTAAGGGTGCTCATCTCCATATTGTACTGGCCAATCCCACAAAAACCTTTAAAAGATCCATTGTTAACTGTGTGAATGCATATCCAGACAAAGTTTGTCTATGGATGGACAGACAAGTGGGTGCAGTATATTTACTGTCACATACAAAAATACCACAGCAGTTTCCTTTGAAAGGCAAGGAAACTGCACATAATACACCAACACGTATACATCAAACCACATAAGCATCTGAAGTAAGTCAACATGATACTGAGGAGAGATGACCCTATAGAGTAAACAGAACACTGAAGTTGGATTTACATCATTCAAGCAATTAAAATACGAACATCCATCTCAAATTAATTTTGATCTCAATCTTACTCTTGCATACAACTCAATTTTGTTCTGAAATTTCGTACACATTCATAGATCAGATCTCCCATTCTAATCAAGACTCAAGACATTTTCAAGACCATTTCTCTAGACTAAACCCCCATACTGATCTTCTATCTTGGCCACTTCTCTAGACCAAACCTCTATACTGGCCTTCTATCTGTAGCCATTTCTCTAGACTAAACCCCTATACTGTCCATCTATCTGTAGCCATTTCTCTAGACCACACCTCTATACTGGCCTTCTATCTGTAGCCATTTCTCTAGCCAAAACCCCTATACTGTCCATCTATCTGTAGCCTTTTCTTTAGACCAAACCTCTATATTGTCCATCTATCTGTAGCCATTTCTCTAGCCAAAACTCCTATACTGTCCATCTATCTGTAGCCATTTCTCTAGACCAAACCTCTATACTGTCCATCTATCCATAGCCATTTCTCTAGACCAAACCCCTATACTGTCCATCTATCTGTAGCCATTTCTCTAGACCAAACCTCTATACTGTCCATCTATCTATAGCCATTTCTCTAGACCAAACCTCTATACTGTCCATCTATCTGTAGCCATTTCTCTAGACCAAACCTCTATACTGTCCATCTATCCATAGCCATTTCTCTAGACCAAACCCCTATACTGGCCTTCTATCTGTAGCCATTTCTCTAGACTAAACCCCTATACTGTCCATCTATCTGTAGCCATTTCTCTAGACCAAACCTCTATACTGTCCATCTATCCATAGCCATTTCTCTAGACCAAACCCCTATACTGGCCTTTTATCTGTAGCCATTTCTCTAGACTAAACCCCTATACTGTCCATCTATCTGTAGCCATTTCTCTAGACCACACCTCTATACTGGCCTTCTATCTGTAGCCATTTCTCTAGACTAAACCCCTATACAGATCTTCTATCACGGCCACTTCTCTAGACCAAACCTCTATACTGTCCATCTATCTGTAGCCATTTCTCTAGACCAAACCTCTATACTGGCCTTCTATCTGTAGCCATTTCTCTAGACTAAACCCCTATACAGATCTTCTATCACGGCCACTTCTCTAGACCAAACCTCTATACTGGCCTTCTATCTGTAGCCATTTCTCTAGCCAAAACCCCTATACTGTCCATCTATCTGTAGCCTTTTCTTTAGACCAAACCTCTATATTGTCCATCTATCTGTAGCCATTTCTCTAGCCAAAACTCCTATACTGTCCATCTATCTGTAGCCATTTCTCTAGACCAAACCTCTATACTGTCCATCTATCTATAGCCATTTCTCTAGACCAAACCCCTATACTGGCCTTTTATCTGTAGCCATTTCTCTAGACCAAACCTCTATACTGTCCATCTATCTATAGCCATTTCTCTAGACCAAACCTCTATACTGTCCATCTATCTGTAGCCATTTCTCTAGACCAAACCTCTATACTGTCCATCTATCCATAGCCATTTCTCTAGACCAAACCCCTATACTGGCCTTCTATCTGTAGCCATTTCTCTAGACTAAACCCCTATACTGTCCATCTATCTGTAGCCATTTCTCTAGACCACACCTCTATACTGGCCTTCTATCTGTAGCCATTTCTCTAGACTAAACCCCTATACAGATCTTCTATCACGGCCACTTCTCTAGACCAAACCTCTATACTGGCCTTCTATCTGTAGCCATTTCTCTAGCCAAAACCCCTATACTGTCCATCTATCTGTAGCCTTTTCTTTTTCTTTAGACCAAACCTCTATATTGTCCATCTATCTGTAGCCATTTCTCTAGCCAAAACTCCTATACTGTCCATCTATCTGTAGCCATTTCTCTAGACTAAACCCCTATACTGTCCATCTATCTGTAGCCATTTCTCTAGACCACACCTCTATACTGGCCTTCTATCTGTAGCCATTTCTCTAGACTAAACCCCTATACAGATCTTCTATCACGGCCACTTCTCTAGACCAAACCTCTATACTGGCCTTCTATCTGTAGCCATTTCTCTAGCCAAAACCCCTATACTGTCCATCTATCTGTAGCCTTTTCTTTAGACCAAACCTCTATATTGTCCATCTATCTGTAGCCATTTCTCTAGCCAAAACTCCTATACTGTCCATCTATCTGTAGCCATTTCTCTAGACCAAACCTCTATACTGTCCATCTATCTATAGCCATTTCTCTAGACCAAACCCCTATACTGGCCTTTTATCTGTAGCCATTTCTCTAGACCAAACCTCTATACTGTCCATCTATCTATAGCCATTTCTCTAGACCAAACCCCTATACTGGCCTTTTATCTGTAGCCATTTCTCTAGACCAAACCTCTATACTGTCCATCTATCTATAGCCATTTCTCTAGACCAAACCTCTATACTGTCCATCTATCTGTAGCCATTTCTCTAGACCAAACCTCTATACTGTCCATCTATCCATAGCCATTTCTCTAGACCAAACCCCTATACTGGCCTTTTATCTGTAGCCATTTCTCTAGACCAAACCTCTATACTGTCCATCTATCTGTAGCCATTTCTCTAGACCAAACCTCTATACTGTCCATCTATCTATAGCCATTTCTCTACACCAAAACCTCTATACTGTTCATATATCTGCAGCCATTTCTCTAGACCAAATCTTTTTCTGGACTTGACTGTAACGCTATTTCTTGACTTAATCAATGATAAGGACCTGTCAGATGTAGTGTACTGTAACCGTCCGGCAAAAGTCCAATGCCTTCCTTTCAGTGACAGGATAATTTTCTTTATGACCATAACACAGTAATGGCTAAAATATCAGTTGTAATTATTAATCGAATCTAACCGTCAGTTGGTTCATTACGTAATCGCTTCGTTCTGGTACACACAGGAAGTAAGATCAGTTGGTTTGTAATGAATTCACTTACAGGTTACACTATAAACTTGGTGTAACTGCCATTACATAGCCACCAAAAATAGCTTCGTAACATCCAGCCCCCATTTATACCGTACCAGACAGAGCTGGTATACATCAGTGTCTCTCTTATAACGGTCATTTGATGATCAGCGCTTAATGTTGTAGATGGTTTTCTCTGTACAAATGGTACCCATGGTTCCCTGCCCTAAGAGTGCTACTAAGCTAGACGAGACGGGGTGTTGGAACAGGATCTCTCTGACAGTAAATGCTTACTTTGCTGTAGGTCTTGACGATTTGAATTTTAAATGTGAATTTGAGTAATCGGACAGGATTAAGATAAGTACTGGTATGTGAATTGTCTGTCTCCGAGATGTGCTGTTTCTATGACAACCAGACTATTGTCAAAGAAAGAACATTCTAACAATGTGTTTTTTTTTCTTCCTTTTTATCCATGTAGATCAAGCATTTCATTGTCAGCATTGTCTAAAGAAAAATACCAGACAGAGGACAGGAAATTATAAAATTACAGAAATCTGAATGGACACTGGTCATTGTTGTATAATCAATAAACTACAATATACATTCTTTAAATTGCCATCTCGGAGTGGACATTGGTCATTGTTGTACAACTAACGAATAATGGTGTATATTCTATAAATAGCCACCTCAAAGTGGACACTGGTTATGTTATGTGCTACATTATTTTTGGAGTTTATATCAGGTTACCAATTCAGGTGTAGTTTATGGTCATGCAACATTAAATTTGCTTGTCCTGTGATCACATATGATTTACACTCTGCTGTTTAATGAGACTAAAACCTGATAATTTTTAATATTCATGGGGACATTGTGCCGAATGATCGAGACAATGTTCTATATTTGATAAAGACATAGAAGTGTGATTTTCATTACGTCAACCTTGAGAAACAGATTATCCTGTATCTGAAGGATAGGAACATGAAAGGTGTTAATTGTTAATTCTCACTAAAATGCATTAGTGTTCAGTTATCTCTTTATAAAATAGAATTCCCCGATGGTTTAGCTACAGCTATGATCAGTGTAATGGTTTAAGACATCAGACAGTGAAGAGTTATGTGTAGCTTAATTTCTCTGATTCTCAATCATGTACACTACCTTGGAGTGTGAGACGATAATAAATTCTCTGCCTGGAGACACTTAATGGTCATAATGACTTCAATGTACACCGATTCATCTCACAAGGGACAAAACAGAAATGTAGAGCTATCAACACTTGCTTATTGGCTATTTTATCATAACCTGTACCATTAATTTCTAGATGTCGAAAGAAAGCGGAATAACAAATATCGAATAAACAGCAAGATTTCGATTGTATTTACCATGATCAATTCTTTCCTTGCATTCAAATTCATTACCCAAAATATTAAGGCAAATCAAAATCCAAAACATTAATAGTTTCAAATATCTATTACAATATCTCTTTCCTTCACATCACACTGATTAAAGCCGATAATTTTGGTTCCATATGCTAAAAATTTGGAGAAAAATCTGAATAGAAAATTGATGTGTTATACTGACATATCATTGTTGTAAGTTGATTTCCGACCATAACATGGCCTGGATCTGTCTTTGGAATCCAAAATATTGTTGAGTTGGCAAATTGTGAATATCAATGGATTGACGATGCAAACACTTAGCAGCTGATGTAAAACACAGATATAAGAAACCAGGATAATTGGAATACTTATCACTTTTGTACTGATCATTTATATATAAAATCAATCACATCCCAAAACAGAAATGTTCCAGATAGTTTTGTCAGAGGACTCATAAACCTTAGATACTACCAATGAGAGATATCACCCTTAGATATTGCCAATGAGAGTCATCACCCTTTGATACTGTCAGTGAGAGTTATCACCCTTTGATACTGTCAGTGAGAGTTATCACCCTTTGATACTGTCAGTAAGAGTTATCACCATTTGATACTGTCTGTGAGAGTTATCCACCTTAGGTATGTAAACAAAACAGAGAATAACACACTTTTCTGATAACCCTCAACAAGAAATGAATTTGTGTGATTCAAAGAAGAATGCTCTATCACTTGAGTAATTGAACATATTTAACATTGTGTACAAGTCATACTGACCAACTCTGATACAAACAACTAGTTACCATCCTTAGAAAATACTATTATACTGTTATCAGGGCTCAAATGTATACACCTAATCCTGTTTACATAGTGCTGTGAATTGACCTCTGTGTGAGTTGGTCTTGTGAATTGACCCCTGTGTAATTTCATCCTGTGTATTGACCCCTGTGTGATTTGGTCCTGTGAATTGACCCCTTGTAATTTCATCCTGTGTATTGACCCCTGTGTGATTTGGTACTATGTAATGACCTCTGTGGGAATTGGTACTATGTAATGACCTCTGTGGGAATTGGTACTATGTAATGACCTCTGTGGGAATTGGTACTATGTAATGACCTCTGTGGGAATTGGTACCATGTAATGACCTCTGTGGGAATTGGTACTATGTAATGAACTCTGTGGGAACTGGTACTATGTATTGACCTCTGTGGGAATTGGTACCATGTAATGACCTCTGTGGGAATTGGTACTATGTAATGAACTCTGTGGGAATTGGTACTATATAATGAACTCTGTGGGAATTGGTACTATATAATGACCTCTGTGGGAATTGGTACTATGTAATGACCTCTGTGGGAATTGGTACTATGTAATGACCTCTGTGGGAATTGGTACTATGTATTGACCGCTGTAGGATTTGGTACTATGTATTGACCGCTGTAGGATTTGGTACTATGTATTGACCGCTGTAGGATTTGGTACTATGTATTGACCGCTGTAGGATTTGGTACTATGTATTGACCGCTGTAGGATTTGGTCCTATGTATTGACCGCTGTTGGGTTTAATTAATGACAAAATCTATGAATCCTTGTAGCATATGCTGTCATTAGAGTTATACACACAGTGAGATGATGACAATGTAGTAAGATGTATATACTGACCCCTGTGGGTGTCTGCTCATCTTCCTTGCTGTCCTCTTTCTCCTCTATGGAGCTGGAGGTACTGGCAGACATAGACGAGCTAGAAGACAATGACGTCTTGTTGGACAGTGCATACATGTTGTCGTTGATGGAACCATGATGATGGGAGCCATCATCAGAACGAGCATCTGACTGGATTCCACTGTCATTGGAATCTGGAGAGTTCAAATCAAACCTGACAAAAAATGATGGAAAATCTAATCAGATCTGCTGAATGTGTAAAAATAATATTTAAAAAATATCAATGCATAATTTTCAATGTCCTTATTTGAAAGTAGTTCTTTGTAAGAAAATGTACTTTTTTAACTGCATCTCTTTCATCTTTTATACTTTGTAACTCTTTTTAAGGTGGAAATTGATTATTCAAAAGTAAACATATATCCTAGAATTCAAAATTCTCTAAAGGCCTGGCATGTCATAATGGAGACCAGGTGCCTGAAAGTGATTACATCAGCATGTGTTCCAGCCTCTGATTTATGACAGGAAATTCAGCAACTAAAAACAAAGTATTAAATCAATGATGTAATAGATAACAAATCATGAGTCTTTGTATAGCATTAGTGGCAGCATCACCTGGGATACCAATATCATTTATAGGGATACTGCATCAACTCAGGCTTCCTCAAATATACATGACACCACTATCTCACTAATAGAGGTTTCTCAAAGGTACACCCTATACAATATCTTCACCATTACATGGAAAGTTTTCTCATTAAAGGAACACATCCCACAAAATCTTCACCATTACATGGAAAGTTTTCTCATTAAAGACACACATCATACAAAATCTTCACCATTACATGGAAAGTTTTCTCATTAAAGAAACACATACACTATCTTCACCATTACATGGAAAGTTTTCTCATCAAAGGCACACATACAATATCTTCACCATTACATGGAAAGTTTTCTCATTAAAGGCACACATCACACAAAATCTTCACCATTACATGGAAAGTTTTCTCATTAAAGGCACACACACAATATCTTCACCATTACATGGAAAGTTTTCTCATTAAAGACACACATCATACAATATCTTCACCATTACATGGAAAGTTTTCTCATTAAAGGAACACATACACTATCTTCACCATTACATGGAAAGTTTTCTCATCAAAGGCACACATACAATATCTTCACCATTACATGGAAAGTTTTCTCATTAAAGGCACACACACAATATCTTCACCATTACATGGAAAGTTTTCTCATTAAAGACACACATCATACAATATCTTCACCATTACATGGAAAGTTTTCTCATTAAAGAAACACATACACTATCTTCACCATTACATGGAAAGTTTTCTCATCAAAGGCACACATACAATATCTTCACCATTACATGGAAAGTTTTCTCATTAAAGGCACACATCACACAAAATCTTCACCATTACATGGAAAGTTTTCTCATTAAAGACACACATCACACAAAATCTTCACCATTACATGGAAAGTTTTCTCATTAAAGACACACATCATACAAAATCTTCACCATTACATGGAAAGTTTTCTCATTAAAGAAACACATACACTATCTTCACCATTACATGTTTTCTCATTAAAGGCACACATCACCATACAAAAGTCTTCACCATTACCATTACATGGAAAGTTTTCTCATTAAAGGCACACACACAATATCTTCACCATTACATGGAAAGTTTTCTCATTAAAGACACACATCATACAATATCTTCACCATTACATGGAAAGTTTTCTCAAAGGAACACATACAACCATTACATGGAAAGTTTTCTCATCAAAGGCACACATACAATATCTTCACCATTACATGGAAAGTTTTCTCATTAAAGGCACACATCACACAAAATCACACAAAATCTTCACACACATTACATTACTGGAAAGTTTTCTCATTAAAGGCACACATCATACAAAATCTTCACCATTACATGGAAAGTTTTCTCATTAAAGGAACACATACACTATCTTCACCATTACATGGAAAGTTTTCTCACACATCATCAAAGGCACACACATACAATATCTTCACCATTACATGGAAAGTTTTCTCATTAAAGGCACACACACAATATCTTCACCATTACATGGAAAGTCATTAAAGACACACACATACAATCTTCACCATTACATGGAAAGTTTTCTCATCCAAGGCACACATACAATATCTTCACCATTACATGGAAAGTTTTCTCATTAAAGACACACATCATCACATTAAATTTTCTTCACACATCACACAAAATACCATTACATGGAAAGTTTTCTCATTAAAGGCACACATCACACAAAATCTTCACCATTACATGGAAAGTATTCTCATTAAAGGCACACATCATACAGAAATCTTCACCATTACATGGAAAGTTTTCTCATATTAGGGACACCTCATACAAAATCTTCACCATTAAGTAGAAAGTTTTCTCATTAAAGGCACACATCATACAAAATCTTCACCATTACCTTTGAAAGTTTTCTCATTAAAGGAACACGTACAATATCTTCACCATTACATGGAAAGTTTTCTCATTAAAGGCACACATCATACAATATCTTCACCATTACATGGAAAGTTTTCTCATTAAAGGAACACGTACAATATCTTCACCATTACATGGAAAGTTTTCACATTAAAGGAACACATCACACAAAATCTTCACCATTACACTGAAAGTTTTCTCATTAAAGGCACACATCATACAAAATCTTCACCATTACATGGAAAGTTTTCTCATGAAAGGCACACATACACTATCTTCACCATTACATGGAAAGTTTTCTCATCAAAGGCACACATACAATATCTTCACCATTACATGGAAAGTTTTCTCATTAAAGGCACACATCCCACAAAATCTTCACCATTACATGGAAAGTTTTCTCATCCAAGGCACACATACAATATCTTCACCATTACATGGAAAGTTTTCTCATTAAAGACACACATCATACAAAATCTTCACCATTACATGGAAAGTTTTCTCATTAAAGGCACACATCACACAAAATCTTCACCATTACATGGAAAGTTTTCTCATTAAAGGCACACGTCACACAAAATCTTCACCATTACATGGAAAGTTTTCTCATTAAAGGCACACACAAAACCAAACCCTCATCATGACATAGTGTGTGAGAAAGGACTATTCTCTCAGCAAAAAGAAACCCATAGAATTAGGAATATACAAATAGGAGACAAATAGGCCTATAGGTTTTATTTAGAGACAACATTATCAGACCCATAGAAGCTAATCTAGATAAAACAAACAAAACAAATGAGCATGTCTGTCCTTGACAAATAAACCCATAGATGTCTGGATGAGAAAAAACAAGCCCATAGAATCTCGTCTGGATGAGACAAAACAAAAACTCCTCGAACGTGTCTGACCTAGACAACCAGACCAAAGCACCTAATCTAACAAACAGAAATATTGAGATGAATTCCATCCGAAGTATTGAACATTAATCACACACTGAAATGCTTTCTTTATTGACAAAGATTCCATTGGAGACAGGTTTCTGTCACTTTTCTCCCTGCCTGGGTGACTGGGTGCCCAACCGAAACATCACCAAATTATAAATCTGTATGATGTTGTGTGTGTTTGTTATTCCCAAGGCAGAGAATGATTATGGCTCTATCTTTATTACCCTATATAATAACACCCTGATAAGGCAGGCTATCCTCCTCACGCAGGTCCCCAACAATAGCATGTGTAGAGGGTGTTGGATTTCTAATATTCCTGGTTTATTGAATGATAGATTATGATGGTTTAAAATGGCTATGTTTGTCTACCAGTAGACAAAGCTATTTACTGACTGCTGTTCCTAATATCGCCTGACCAGCATCATACATCCATGGAATAAAAAAAGTAACCTTATGAAACTTGTATTGTAAGAATAGAATAACCTGAAGCATTATCAGTAATTGTAGTAGAACAATGACTAGTAAATATACAAAATGTTGGCATTAAAAGTCACAACTTTAACCCTAATGTTAAATGTACAGAAGGTCATCTGTTTATCTGTCTAGCACTCAGACACGTGTTGTATATGTAGATTCACTGCCATTCTCAGACGTGTCATTAATTGTCATGACATATTACAATCTATGTACATAATATGATGGTGTCTAGGGGAGATAAAAATGTGACATGCAAAGTAAAATGAAGGAATAACTCTTTCAAGGTTGAAATCTTTTTAGCAACAGATATATATTCAAAATTATTTTAAGACAAGTACTATTTAAGATTCATGAAGAACAACACCCCTTCATCTAAACCTCTGGTGTTAACATGTTGCAGCTCATTTGATATTCAAGGGCCTTTCTCCATTATCAAGATTTTCCAAATATACAGGTTGATGAGAAGTTTTACAGTCATCATTGTGATCTCTCTGAGAAATATTCTATTTCTTTGTGATGTGTAATAAGAAGCAGGATGTATTTGATACTTGTTAGTTTGCCTGTTGGTTCCATTATTGTATATCTTGTTCTTATTTGAGAATATGACATTACTTACTTAGATGGGCCAAGGTCTAAATTGTGGGTGTTGTCCATGAAGCAGAAGACACTTACTCTTCTAGAACACCTGGTCTTATTCTCCTTGTACTATTTCAGGAGTCTCGGTGTAAATCTTTCTTTTATTCATATTTTGTGCTACTTTTATTGAATATGAATTTAGATCATGATTATGTTGACATGTGTGTATTTTTATTCCTGTTTCTTGTTAACTGTGATGACTAATTGGACGATGATGATCATCCCAATCAATCCTGTTTTCTTTTAATGTCAACTAAATAGAAGAGAAAGGGAATGAGAAATTATTTTGAGAAATTTATCACTTGACATAAATACAATCCTACCTGCTCCCCCTTGTCTTCATTCCTATGAAAACCACTCAGTGGCTATTGACTTACTTGAGTTTACGGAGGTTCTCCACACTTGGTGTTGTCATGGCACTCTCTGGTTCATCCTCAGTATCTGGACTAAGAATGTTGACTTGTTTTTCTCTTGCCTTTGACTCCAACATACTGTAATATCCCAGGAACCCTCGGTTCTTCTTTCCCGCTTTATCATTTGCCTCCTTCTGTGCCGAGTCCTTCTCATTGGCTCGATTCAAATCTTCAGTCAGCTTTTTAGTTTCATACATTGTGATGTACTCATTTTCATTGTCTTCATCACTCGACAAATCTTCCTCCCCTTCTGAAGAGCTCAGATTTTCACTGGAAGAGTCAGAAATGAGACGTTTCTTTTCTGGGGTATAGTTCTTATTAGTGGTATTTGTAGTTCCATTTTTGTTGGATTTCTGGTCCAGTAGGGACAATGTGCTGATGTCATCAACATCATCATAGATACTAGAATCTTTGTCGTCACTTCCATTTTTCTTCATGTTGGAATTCATACGGTCTTCAAATTGGTAGTTAGGGTTGGCAAAACTGAGATAGGTGTTTTCAGAATCTGAAAATACATAAATTTTAATACTGTAAGTAAAATTTTCACTTGAAATATATACCAGATTTGTTTTTCACAAAATTATTAGAGAAACAAAACATTATGTATTTGTACAGCCATTTCACTGGTACACTTTCACACAGGCCAATCTAATCTTGAAAAATGTAACATATTTCAGTCAAAATGAATTTGACTGATAAAGGATGTCATGTTTTGAAATATTCCTACAAGAACTTAAATAGAAAACTACTAATCATAACCAAATAGGCATGTTCTTGTCAGAAAAAGATTCTCTCCCATCCATAAGGAGTGATTATCACCATTTACCTAGCCTGGTAATTTTGAAATAATGAGCTGATCAATTCAAGACAACTAAATACTATTAGTAGGTAAACATCCAACACAGCCTCCCTCCTATATCAAATTATTTTGTCGCCATTGTGAATGAAGACAGTGACCTAGCCAGGATCTACAATAGAGGTGGTTGTGTTTGCCTGTTGCACTCTTGTTATAGTAATTTAATTTATCTCAGACTGTTGACTTGAAATGAGATGTGAGTGTACAAAACTGAGCTGAGTATCGGAGAGAAGCAGGCACACCAAGCAGGTGCTGGCTAAGAACTTCCAATATCATAAAAAAAAATTGTCACCAGAAATGATTCCTCATTCATCTCACCTACTTGTTTCTCCAATGTTATCAATTTTTTCTGAAATTTCTTTAGAAATGAAAACTTTACATAACAGACGGATTTTTAAAGTCTTGAAATACTTTAAATAGTCCAAGTATTTCAAATAGTCATACCAGACATTTTCAATGAAATCATACAGACAGAAGGGTCACAGTGAAATCATACAGACAGAAGGGTTACAGTGAAATCATACAGACAGAAGGGTCACAGTGAAATCATACAGACAGAAGGGCTGACAAACTATACTAGGATGGTGACCAGGTGACAAACTATACTAGGATGGTGACCAGGTGACAAACTATAATAGGAGGGTGACTAGTTGACAAATTACAATAGGAGGGGAACTAGGTGACAAACTACAATAGGATAGTGACTAGGTAGGTAACAAACTTCAATAGGAGGGTGACTAGGTAACAAACTACAATAGGATGGTGACCAGGTAACAAACTACAATAGCAGGGCAACTAGGTGACAAACTACAATAGGAGGGTGACTAGGTAACAAACTACAATAGGAGGGTGACTAGGTGACAAACTTCAATAGGAGGGTGACTAGGTAACAAACTACAATAGGATGGTGACCAGGTAACAAACTACAATAGGAGGGTGACTAGGTAACAAACACCAATAGGAGGGTGACTAGGTAACAAACTACAATAGGAAGGTGATTAGGTGACAAACTTCAATAGGAGGGTGACTAGGTAACAAACTACAATAGGAGGGTGACTAGGTAACAAACAACAATAGGAGGGTGACTAGGTAACAAACTACAATAGGAGGGTGACTAGGTAACAAACAACAATAGGAGGGTGACTAGGTAACAAACAACAATAGGAGGGTGACTAGGTAATAAACTACAATAGGAGGGCAACTAGGTGACATCAGTACATTAGAGTGACTCATGTCAAACTGTTGTGTCGCAATGTCCCTGTCCTCAGAACATTTTATGTCACAATAAAATGCTTAACCACCAGTAAAAGTTATTCTAGATGTTGCTGCTGAAATTTGAAGCCCAGAAGACAAAAACAGGAAAGGAATTATAGTGAGCAAATCACATGAGGAATTCCTCCATTCTTTATTGAACTAAACTTGATCAATGACAAGACAGTTCCATAGCCAAATTTAAGGGGGTTACAGACTCAAAATTACACTTTTGAGCCAGTCTGACATTCAGGTTTCCAAGAATTCTGTTATCATGTTTTATGTAGTTCTGGAATTGTACTTGTGAGCACAGCTGTTCCATATAGACTTATTATCACTACCTGGTTGTGGGATTGGCTCTATACAAGATAGCTTCGCGTATAGAATTGCACACTCTGACACAACTTTGAATTTCTAGCTAACGCCTATTTCAATAAAATATATTCACTGGCATATTTCAAATATTTGTGGATCTGTACATCTCATATATAAGACGAAGTCAGCAATCAACAACTTTTACTTAATACAAATCAACGTTTAAACGATGTGTTGATCAGTATCATAATCTGAGAAACAGCATTATTAACATTTAAACAAAGCTTAAAATTAACATTCAACATTTAAACAAAGCTTAAAATTAACATTCATTATTATCAAATAATGACCAAACTCATTATCTACTGTGTAAGGTATTGTTGTTGATGTCTCCAGAGCATTTTGTGCCTTACTATACACATGGGTATACAACACATCAAAACAGTGTATCAAAACTGTATCACACTGAAGCACTTTTTGATACTGAAAATATATTTAATCAAAGTCTACAACATTCTTGTTCTAAAATTTAGAGCTCATAAGGCAATAAGAACAAAGCAACAATACCACATTTATCACCAAATGATCATCTTTGAAATAGTAGAAACCCTGTTTTTTCTCTCCTTTTCTGGACTTTTGGCTATATCACCTAACCTTTGTTCATAGTCAAATTTTTACACATTTGTATGATTCCTTGATGTAGGGAATAACTTATCATCATATCAATTTTTAAATACTGGTAAGACATGGACTTATTGACAGACAAATATCAATTCTAGAATCAGACATGGACTTATTGACAGACAAATATCAATTCTAGAATGAGACATGGACTTATTGACAGATAAATATCTACTCTAGAATGAGACATGGACTTATTGACAGATAAATATCTACTCTAGAATCAAACGAGGACTTACTGACAGATAAATATCTACTCAAGAATGAGACATGAATTAATTGACAAATAAATTTCAACTCTAGGATCACGTATTGACTTATTGTCATTGGCAAATTTGGTAAATAACAAAATTTAATATGATTACATCAATATCTGAAATCAGGCATGGAATAATTTTCTGATAAATGTAGTATACAGGTTTTGGCAAAACTTTGTGCTTCTTCAGGATCTGATTAAGCCCAAAGATCTGGTGATGTTTCCAAATAAAGAAAATTCAACTTTACTTCGCAACTTTGCTGCAAATGAACACGATTCTTAAACTATTTTCAAGTTGCATCAACAATCAAAAGGTGCTTAATTCACTGTTGTGTCATCTGTATTATCTGTCAGGGAAATGTATAAAAACGTCTCATTATATAAGTCGAAAATAAAAAAATAAATCCTCTTAACATATTCGGGAAAATCAAACCGATGATAAATCCTTAGGAAATAACAAGTGAACCTTTAAACAGCCAAGGATTTCAAACACAAAACCTCTGATTAATCTACTGAAATGACTTCGGTAATTGTAATTTTCTATTTCAATGATGTGTCATCATTAGACAACATATCACTGATGATGAAAACACATTGACTAATGGATGAGGCAGCTGAGAGACAGTCGGGGAAATCCTTCAGGAGTAATGGCCGACCCTAATTAATAGGTTTTCATCCCCACAATCTATCAGCTACTCCTCCCTGGAAATCCTCTAGACAGTAAAAACAAATCTAACAGTGAGAAATCCAATTTGTTTGTGGTACAAATTGTAAACCTCCATGGAATAAGACTTTTATGGGTAGGGTAAGGACGTTTTTTCCAGATTTTTTTTCTTTTTTATTATAATTTCAACAATTAAACATTTCTTAATCTCAAGAGTTTTAGTATCTTGTAATTCCATGGTGAAGTTGTTACAAAAAATTTGTTTATAAAGAAAGCCTTTTGAACAATATGTTCACATCTGTTAAAAAGACAGAAAAGTCAGTTGAATTTGTTTGTACTAACATGAAGATAAATTTATGATGGTCACAGGTAGACCAAACACTGACATCATGGAATCACAGCCAAGGGCACTTGAGACGGTTGGTAGGTGCTGTTCACTGTTCTATTTCTTGACAACCATAACTCATATTTGTTAGAAAACCCACAAAATTTGAAAATATTGACTGATAACTGGTAACTTTTGGTGACATCATGTCTGGATAATTTGTTATAGTTTTTGAAATCACAACAAAAATTACTTTTAATCAATTAACAGTTCTGTTCATAATTCTTCTTTCAGCCATTTTGTTGCCATTAAGTTACACTGTATGTAATCAATCACAACAAATATCTAGGTTTATTGTGATCTCTGATAATACATTTTCACGTTATCATGACAGCTTTAACTGTTATTAAACAAAACTTGAAATCTGCATAGTTACGACAGAAATGCACGAGTAAAATATGTGAAAAAACATCTAAAAATAGAGCTGGTCAACTTCCATATCTAAAAATACCTAAATTGCTTGCACTGACTTCCCCTACTGGCTAGTAAACAGAACAACATTGCTGACAGCTTTTGAACATGCGAGGAGTTATTCATTATTTCACAATACTTTAAGTACATCACGCAAAGGTTGTTTCGAAATAATGAATGCAAAGCTTTAATGAAACTATATGCACTTCATTCACAAGTTAATAAAATGTACATCTGACTAAGATCTTCTGGTCTGTGGCTCTGATCCCCAGTCTGCCAGTCTTCAAGACAAACTGGTCTATGCTTGCGTGATTGACTTATTTCTTAACACAAATTTACATATAGAGAGTGGAGCACTCCATTAGAGATTCCCTGCTATCCGTGTGCAGTTTCCTGGTTTTAATTGCCGTTATGAAAATCTATAGTATTGATTCTCACATCTGATGACACCTCATAATAAGCCTATCACATTCTACCATTCAACACATTTTAGTATTTTTTTTTTTTTTTCAGAATTTACACGTTATGAAAATATAGATGTACAAGATCATTTCATTTATGTCCGTATTCTGACCAAGAAAAACCATTGTCAAGGTCAACCATAATTGATGGCAATTGAAAACCATCAAGATCTGAGTTAACCAGAAAACCACTGAGATCAGAGGTGACCAATGAAAATCAAACAT